TACGGAGAACGTGCTTCGGCCCGAGCAACGCCAGAATGGGTTTGGAGAGGTGGCCCACTTAAGGAGTAGGTGGGTCACCGGGAAAGGGATTAAAGGATCAGGGGCAGGAGGTTTTTCGAAGGAACCACCGCTTTTTCGAGAGCTGAGCCGACCTTTGCACCTGAATTCTGCAACTGGTGTCTCGCAAGTGGTGCCTGCAATGTGGAGCTTCGGGGAATAATCGTATTTAACGACTTTCAAGGAATGACCGAAGGCACTCACCGGATTCCGATCGCAGGGCGACCGGCTAAATGGTTTCTGCGTTGGTGAACCTAACCTGAGGTTGTCGGAGACCTTGCATCCCAAGACTTACCCGAACTAGGCTTAGCCAACCTGCACAAGGGGTCCTTGATCACGTCAGGTGGGATAAGTGTCCTGACATCCCAAGCGTCCAAGCATCTACCATTAAAGTTTAAGAGTTCTTCCAAATTTCCTGCACCCAAGTACACTCTACCCTAAACCTTAGCTTAAGTGCCCTAAACTCAATCCCCGGTACCGAATAAGTGGCACCCACCTGCTTCGGCAAGTTGTCCTCACATAGGGTTCGGAATGATTGGTATGAGTGTAGTAGTTTCCCTTATAGTTCCCCTATCTGTACATATCTATATATCTATTGTGTAGATGTATATGTATAAATATTTAGCATAAAATATGTTTCCTGCAAAAAATTGAATGCCACATGGAATCCGGGCCCGGCACACGCAGCAAGCTAGGTTTTGTCCCACCTCTGCAGCTCCATTTCGGGGTTTAGAGTTTGGGGTACATGGGTTAACGGTACTTGGGCTTAGTCTGTGAAACATTTGGTTTGGGCAGTTGCTGCGAGTTTTCACGTCGTTGAAAGAAGGTAGCTGGAGGTGATCTGAGATTTTTGGCGGAATGAGCTCTGCCCCATTGTCAAGATTTAAACGGTGGTTTGACGTCGGCCTGCTTCTCCGGTGCTCTGCAGCACTGGGAAGAAGACTTTTTCAGTCAAGCCAGAGGCCCTAAACCTCAAAGGCCGAATCCCAAATGCCAAAAGCTCAAGCCCAACCAGCCCTATGCATCTAGTCTTCAGGCCTGTCAATCATCGTCCGGTTGAGCCTGCAGTCTCGCGATGACGTCCTAAGACGCGCTGGGCGACCAAGAGTTTAAGAGCTCAGATTCCACTGCAAATTCGGCAACTACACTTGCATGCCGATGCACCTTGCGAGCATGCGCCGTGCGACTACTCGTACTGCCAATGACAGTACGAGAATTTCTGCGGAAGCCGTGCTCAGGGACCGATGCTGTGATCAGAGGCTTGGATTTCGCAGCTCGTTTTACGACTGTGCCCATCGTTGTTGGGGATAGCGTGCGGGTTTAGGGTTCATGTAGGGCTTAGCATTTAAAACTCTTTACTGGGTTATGCAGACCGGGTCATAAACACTTTAAGAGCCTGCACTTGAAATTTCAATGCTACCTTAAGTTCCTTTTCCATGGTTTGGGGGATTGCAGATGCTGTATCAGGGGGGCCTTGACAAATTAAAGCCACCAAAATGCCAATCTGCTTATGTCGGCGTCTAAAGCATCGCCAACTCAATATAACGGAATCACAGAATCTTACAGTCCACCGCAGCGACCAAATTGAAGCCAATGTTGTAGAAATGAGTCAGTGTGATCTCTGGCACGGCTGCTGCTGATTTGAAGACCCCGAGAGTCCAACATGCCAAAGACATGGTCCTGTATTCAATATCTCTATGGTAATCTGACCCCGAATCCTAAGCCCTAAACACCCTAAACCCTAAGCCCTAAACCCTAAGCCCTAAACCCTACAGCCCGAAATACCAAAACCATATAGCATTCCATGGGGAAGGTTACTCAGTTCTAGCATCTTTGGAGTCTCCGGGGGAGAGATGCGAGCTTGGGAAGTAGTCAGGATTCTGACCGTCCAGGAGCTTCCTAAACCCTAAACCCTAAACGCTAGACCCTAAACCCTCAAACCCTAAAACCCTAAACCCTAAAACCCTAAACCCTAAACGCTAGACCCTAAACGGATTTCTCAGCAGACGGAAGAAGGCGCTCACAAAAAAGAAAACCTAAACGACACCAGCCCGTTCGCCCCCTCCACTTAAGGGTTTGAGGCTCAGTGCCTAGGGTTGTGGGGGCTTCAGGATTCATGTCCTCGGCTTCCAATTCGAGGTTGAAGGCGGCAGTCTTGAAGGTTTGGGCCTTGATAATTACATACGGTTTTCAAGCATATTACTTATGTTACGATATAATCACAGTGAGGAACCCCAAACCGAATTTGCGTTATGATTTAGGCCTCTGTATTAAGACTTAGTACCAAATAGGTTCAGTCTTCGCGGACCGTGCAAAGCCCACCAAGAAGGCCGTCAGTGGCCCGTGTGCAACTCTTCGAAACCGTCGTAATGGACCCCATACAGTGCGTAAACGCAGTTCCTTATGACGTCTAAGACCTTGATGTAACCCGCAGAACCCTCAGTCACTTCCGGTACAGAGCTTGTTGAATCCATTGAGCCCTCATTCACTTCCTGAAGAGGAGCTCAGTGTCCTAATTTCCAACATGGGAGAGCTCGACGAGTCAGCTGTGAAGTCATTGCCGGAATTCTTGTGGCCGGACTTGGGAACCCTAAAACCCTAAACACTTAAACCCTAACCCGGGCTGCGATCCATGCACACCGGAGTAGACCCTGAAATGTTTGTATATAAAGACGGCGGCTATCTAGAGTTGTATACGTGGGACGCGCCATTCAAGGAAGTCTGATAATGTGACCGTGGTCAATGTAGCCCTTGATTAGCACAGCAATCTTGAACTGCCGGCCTTACTGTAAACTAATGGCGTTGAATTAATGTTCGGATCCCTATTGTATCCCTTACCCTAAGGGTCCATGTACCGAAATAGTATATACTTTGGGCCCAACGTACCCATATAGGGAGTACTTCAAGGCCAATGTATATACTATTTAGGTACATCGACCCTTAGGGTTATTCAGGATGCGCCTAACCTTAGGGGTACTTAGTATTCTTTTAATTTTTGGTTATTATAATCCCTAAGAAACAGCTAAACTTGTAAGTTCAGTATAGAACCCTAAACCCTAAACCCAGTAGTTGCAGTAACACTGTCGCGAAGCAGCAGTGCGAGACCTTCACTCACATCAGCTTTTCATCTAGTCCTGTCATGTTGCCGAGCTTGTTACCTTATGTGGGAGTTTCCGAAAATTAGGGGTACCTTATTTGGGGGCCCTTATAATAAGGATCGTACTATATAGGGTAGCATATTAGGTTCCCCTATTCTGGGAAACTCCCATGTTTTTAAGTCTAAACCCCCCAAGCCCTTCAAATCCGAGAACCCTAAGCCTTAAACGCGAATAGTAACCCTTAGACCCTGTCAGTCCGGGCCCTTCGAAGGCTTGCCAGAGCACTATTGTGTTTTCCAGGCCATGTGGCCTTCTCATTGCATGCCACACAAGGCAGACGCCTGTGCCTGAATTTGTAGATTTCAACTTTCTCCCAGTCTTCTGATTCCGCTGTACGGACAGGTTCATGGATCTCCAGCAACGAAGCCTTCCGGTTCGGAATGCTACGGACATGCCGTAGCCGTAAGGCCCACACCCTGAGGCTAAGTCATCGGGGTATATGTTAGAAGCTGCCCCCACCCTGTAATAGTGGTATAATAGGAATATAATAGGGCCCTACTATAATATTAGTATAATCCTTATGGTCACTATTACAGGGTGGGGGCAGCTTCTGATGTATATGTCAGCTTTGGTGCATTTTGGTGAAGACGAAAGCTCAGGGCTAGTTGAAGCTGGCTGCTGGCTGCGATGTTAAACCTGAAAGACACGGAGTGTCAGAGTATGACGTATCCTAATGGAGAACCTACCACCTTAGATAATGAGATCATTATATCAATGATAGCCTTACTACCCCTTTATCCTGAAGCCGCCATGACTGTTGAGGCTGGGGCAGGGATGTTGGGCTCTTAAGGAGTCTTCATCTCCAGGGAATCCGGGCTAAGGGCTCTTGTTGAGGAATTCCTTTTATTTAATCATCATAAACACAGCATGTGATTTCCCTACCCGAAGCGTGAAACACGAACCCCACACTTTTAAACGCACCAAAGCCCATAGCAAAAGCAACAACCTAAGCTCATGTTAGCAGTATTTGCCGAGAGATCCGCGCAAAATTGGACGGCCACGTGGTGAGGCCGTGTCTGGCTGCGCACGTGAAAATGGGGCACCCGTGTCCGAGGTTGCGCATGAGATGCACTGGTCATTCAAGGTTGAGGAAATGTGTGGTGCAGGGATTTTTGGTTTGGGACTGCGGGACTTCCGGGTGTAGGCTTCTAGGCTTCTGGGCGTGATTTTTCTATGGTATGAAAGTTTAGGGTTTAGGGTTTAGGGATACATGGGCCTGATCAGCAAAGCAGCCCTGAAACAGATCCTCGACGCGACAGGTACCCAAAACCCCAATCTGTTCATTCAATGTCTCTAACACGATGGGCAGTCCCCAACCGTAGTTCATTTTTCTACGCACCATGAATACGGGAAGCCTCGTTCGGCTATTTGCCGACATAAACCTTAAACCCTACACCCCAAAACCCTTAACCCCTAAACCCTAGAACCCTATAAACCTAGCCCTAGTAGCCCGACACACCCTAGAAATCCCAAACCCCTAAACCCTATATGGGAGCTTCCGAAAATAGGGGACCTTAATATAGTACCCTAAATACGAGGATCCTTATTATAAGAACCCCAAAATCTTAAGGTACCCCTTATTGCGGAAACTCCCATACAACAGAAAACCTAAACCCTAAAACCCAAACCCTCAAACCCTACAAGCCCTCGAAGCCCTTTAAATCTTAAGCCCTAAATCAACAAAAAACCAACAAAAACTCGAAGCCGTCTAAACCTTAAACCCTAAATCAACAAAAAAACCCTACAAACCCTCGAAGCCCTGGGCTGCCTAAGTCCTCTTGACAGGACCGTGGCTGCATCCAGCTGGGCGCTTTCGGCTTCCGGGGGGCAATTACGTAGACTTTCTGGGTACCTTTAAAGGGATCCTTTAAGGGTACCCGGGATCCTTTATTAGGGGTACCTTTCAAGGGATCCTTCGAGGGTTCCTTTAAAGGGATCTTTGAGGGGTACATTTGAAGGCATCCTTCAAGGCTTCCTTTAAAGGGATGAATATAGTTTTTGGTTTAGGGATGCAGGGTTCAGGGTTGGGAGTTCGTAAGGTTGAGGGTTCAGGACTCGGACCTCGTAAGGTTCAGGGTTTAGGGTGTAGCGTTTAGAGTTCATAAGGTTGAGGGTTTGGGGTTTGGACTTCGTGTCAAGACTGAGCTCCTAGTGTTAGGAGTTGGGATTCTCGTCGGGGGTTCGACCTCCATGTGGGAGTTTCCGAAAAAAGGGAACCCTAATATAGTACCCGAAATAGCAGGATCCCTATTATAAGGACCCCCAAATAAGGTACCCCTAATTTACGGAAACTCGCATGTTCGCGAACGACAGAGATGAGGCACCCTTAACCTGCAGCGCCCGAAACCTTGCAAAATGGTACTTGCAAGGTTTAGGGTTTCGGGTTTTGAGGTTTAGGGTTTGTGGGAGTCTGCGACTCCAGAATTACAGGACACAGCCCCTAGATAAGCATGGAGGCCAAGAAAAATTCTGCTTGTGGCCTGAACATTACGTTTTCGGATCCAATTTCCATGCCCTACCAGAATCGGTGAAAGGATTTAAGCCCACGTTGTTGAGGGAATCGGGCCCAGATGTAGCGCTTAGGTTTTAGGGTTTGGGGCTTCAGCGTTGTAAGGTTTGTCGTTTGACGTTTAGGGCTGACTTCGTGGAACGAAGGAAGCACAATGTTACATGTGCCAGGGGTTCTACAGTCAAAGCACAAAGCCTAACTCTAAACTTTTTTCAGCTGGACCCCTAATCAGGTGTTGTGAGTTCAGCAGCCGAAGCATATGAACCCCTACTCAAGCCCCCTATGAAACCAAGAGAAAGCAAGAGAAACCTCCGAATCCTTGAGTGCGAGAAATCACGCCGCACTGGCACCACATAAACAAAGCTGTGTAGAACCTGACAAAAGAATCTCTAGAGCCTGTAAGCCGAAAAGCCCCCATACCCAAACCCTAGACCCTAAACCCTAAGCCCCTAGACCCAAACCCCCAAACCCTAAACCCAAACCCCAATCCCTAGACCCTAAACCCTGAACAACAGAAACCACAAGGCAGTGGGCAGACCACGACGACACCGCCTCCCGGGCAGCTCAACACGGACCATGCCCGGATGAAGCAATAAACTTCATGCTACTATAGGGGCCTTAATGATTTCCCATTATACTATACTTACAACAGGTGGTAATTATGTAAGCCCCTACAGTAAGGATTGGAGGGTGTTTTGGGAGATCTTCATTGTAGATGCGCTTGGGTGGTAGAATTTTTCATTTGGGAGCTTGAGTGTTTTGGATTTTGGGGCCGTGAAGTAGCCGTCGTAGTAGTTTTCTATACAGTATGGTAAATTTCTGAGTGTCCGAGTCAGACACCAGTTTCACTCCTGGCTAGGGCTTGGGGGCAGTTCGTAGTGGTTCCTGTTCAGGAATTTAAACTTGAGCTACCATAATAGGGGCCTGTACTGAACACTGTGGCCTTAATATGGCTTCCTTATTCTGGTAGCCTTATTCTGGTAGCTTCGTTTCGTTCAACCCCTTAACGAGAACCCAGTTGTGTCTTCCCTCCCTAAATAAGCTGTAAAGCCCTAAACCCGACACCATGGTGGTGCCCCCTTGGGTCGAAGAGTGACCGAAACCTTTTGTCCATCCTTCCCTCTTGCGAGGCTGGAGATCGTCCCATGAAGAACGGGCTCCAGTTTTGAGGTTAGGATTTTCGGATGTCGGGTTTAAAGTTTAGGATTTTGGCAGTACTAAGAACCTACATTAAGCCGCGGATAACATCGCATAAAGCCTTCCACGGCACATCCCCTGAACCCCAAACCTCAAACCCTAAACCCCTAAACCCTGAACCCTAAACCCCAAAATTTCCAAAGGCCCAACCCCTAAACCCTAACCTCCAAACCCAAAGCACTGAAAAGCCCTACAAAAAAGAGCGCGGGCCTGCAGGATACGAATGGAACAGGCCAAGCCCCAGTGACCTGGCTCCAACTCCTTGTGGGAGTTTCCGAAAATTAGGGGTACAGGGGTAGCGTATTTGGGGTCCTTCCAACAAGGATCCTACTATCTAGGATACTATATTTGGGTCCCCGACTTTCGGAAGCTCCCTTGTCACAGTTGCGTCAGGGTTCAGGTCTTAGGGGTTAGGGTATAGGGTTTCGGATTCAGGGTTTGTGGGTGTACTTTGTCATAGTTGGGTAAGATGTTTCACGTGTATGGGTATGTAAATCCAATTTAATACTATCCCAACCATGAACTACGACGAGGAAGTACTTTTGCACGTTTGAGATTTTTCCACAAGGGCTACTAGAAGGGGTACTATATGGGCTCCAATAGTCCTTGGCAGGCGTAGGCCTTTGGAATAGATTTCATTACTTACTACCTTACTAAGCTGAAGGGAGTCTTATCTACGAGGGGCATTAATGGGCCAACGTGATGCTATCGAAGCTTTTGAGGTGTCTGAGATCTTAAGGGCCCCGGGTTAGGGCTGGAGTAAGGGTTCCTGTGGGAGTTTGTTCTTGCATAGGCTTTTGCATGGGTTTTGAAGTACTAAGAGGTTCCATAAGAGTCTTTATCGGGATCTTCTTGGGGTCTCTAAAGGACGAGAGCAACTTTTAATGGAGCCCTAGAACGCCACCTCGCCAGGAGAGCGCCTTCGAATTCCAACCGACTCGGATCAGTACCATGGTCGGCGGTCATGCAGCATGGGCTGCAGATCTTCAGACGTACGTACATCTTTGCGATCTCGTTTCACGGGCTTTCTTTGTAAGGGTGTTTGAAAGCGTTTTTTACATAAGGCCTTCGGGGTTCGGGCTCAGGTTCGGGGGTTGAGGCATAAGCCAGATAGCAATAGATCGGGCTCTTCTGCCAGTTTCGAGTGGTTTCTTTTCCAGGGGAGAAGCTGGATTGCCGCTCGCTGTGCACAGTTAAGGTAGAAGCCAGAAAGTTGGAATATGATTATCCTAACCCTTCTATGGTAAATTATGGGGTATCCTACCCTGAAACCATATTCCAACTTTCTGGAGTTCCCTGTAAGGCTTGAAACCTTGTCCCTGAGGTCGCCGACAGCAACTGGCGCTATGCGCAGGGCAAGTACATCGCAGGCTTCGCAAGCCTTGCTGTCAGCTCATTGTGGCAAGTACGGAAACACTCTGAGAGAGGGGGGACAGCTATGCATTTATGTATGTATGTATCTATATGCATCTATGTACCAGTGTATTTAAGCATCTATGTTCGCGAGTCGAGCTTCACCGTTACTTTGCACAAAGCACTCGTGTATCTTGGTTTCCAGATCAGCCCGTGGCTGATCATCAGCTGCTTGCAACCAGTATCGGTCACGGGGCTCAAGGAAGGAAGCTCTACAGCCCAAACCGTGGATGGGAAAGGGTTGGCAAGCCCTAAACCCTACAGTAAACCTCCGTAGATTCCCTAAACTCTAAGGCCTAAACCCTAAACCCTCCGTAGAGGGTGCTCGGCAGAGAGCCCGGAAAGTCCCGAAAGATCTCCACAGTCTCTTGGGATTAGGGGTTGTGCTCTGGTCTCCTTAGGTTTTTTGTTTTTGTTCATATAAAACTCAAGAGAGTAGGGGGGTATAGTATAAGGGCATAGGGCTTAAGTAGGGTTCAGGGATGTTTAGGGTTTAGGATGAGAGCAGAAAAGATGGGAGAAGAGGAAGGCCTTTTGTTTCGGATTCCGGAATCCAGGTTTAGGGGTTGGGGCTAAGGGGTGTTAGTGCCTGGCAGGGTTTAGGGTTTCCGGGTTTCTGGGTATCATGTCGGATTCAGGGTTCAGGGTTAGGGTAGACGGTATCGCAGGCACGACCGGGCCCCTGCTTTCCTTTTTGTCTCGTCAGGGGCTTCTTTAGATGAGCGAAGAGGGTTTGGGTTAGAGATTGCTATGAGCAGATGAAGGGTTTATGAGCAGATATGGATGTAACTCACCCATAGCCCTTTGCCAGGCTTCTACGCGCTGAACAAGGCCGCCACCAGGCTGCAAACCATGATGCTCATCCCAGAATTCTACGCCCTACGCCCAACCTAGACCCCCGAACTACCCCTTATTGTAGCCCCACATTACCTCTTAATGAGAAATATCAGAGCCCTGCAAAGGGGTTTAGGGGTTCAGGGCCTAAGGTTGATCTAGACTCCTTTCTAGGGGAGAAATCTCTCTAAAAAAGAGTCGTCAAGCAGATGTCGTAGAGGTCGGACATCCCACGAGAGAGAGCAGGAGGGGGGCCGGGATAATTGGAAGCACCACTCCTTGGGCTCGACGTATTTTTACGTTTAATGCAACCCTCAACCCAATTCCAAGTATTGAGGCCCCTTTTCTGTCAAAAGTCATCCAAGCGTGCCCTGAGGACGAAAACCGGGAGGCAGTTTGCTAGCTGCTAGCTGATGGCTTTAAGAACAGAGTCTAGGATCTCCAGTAGTACCCTGATTCCCTTTTCGTAGTCCTAGGTTCCTTATAAAGTTACCAAATACCAAAAAGATAGGCCTTTTTATTCTTAGGTTACTGGGTATCCTAGAGTAGAGCTGCTGTCTTATGCGTTCTTCGCTCAGGAGCTGTTCTGCCCGCGCGAGGGACAGACTGACCCCGTGGCTGACGAATGGGAGCGGCGTGCTCTCTGCTAGACACCCGGCCCTTAAGCAGATCTGATCCGAAAGCTTTGGTTTTTGATCTTCGCAATACCGGAAGTACTCGGTGAGGTTCTTGTTATTGGACCTCCAGCAAGGGTGCCCCAACTTTCCGGAGGCCCCAAATGCTTGACGCTGTAAGTGGGGCGCGTGGCCATGTTATCCGTATCCTCGCAGCCAACTACTAAGTTCCGGGCTCTGACATGGGTCCAGAATCCAAGTGTGCTGCGGGCTTAGATGAGCGATGCTTCCAGTTTTCACAGACGTAATACTGCAGGATGATGATGATAATGATGATGACCATGCCAGAAAAATCATGGGGTTGGCTCGCCACTCCCACCAGCAGAGTGCTGCCCTGGCATCCACTCCTCGGGCATTAACTAACTACGTCGCCCGTGGCCAACTCAAAACACATGAAACAGCTGCACCCCATAAATGGTACTGTTGATGGACAAAATCCTGCATTACCCTTTATAAGGAATATACCATAGTTCCCATAGTTTAGAGTCCTTAGAGTCATGCAGGATTTTGCCCAAGGTCCTCTCTGGAAGCCTGTAGTAATGGAGCCCTTCAGAGGTGCCCTCATACAAGCAAGAGTCATGAAACCGTCCGCGAAATCGTCTACAGCATCGAAAGCCCTGGAAAGCCCCAGCAAACCCCTTCAAAAAGCTCTAAACCCTAAAATTGAAATCCCAAACCTTAAATCCCTCAACCCCAAACCTTAAACCCACCCCCCCTCAAAAAAACAACAAAAAAACAGACCCTAACTGAGTATGGGCATCGATGCCGACACGCGGGCGGATCCAAAGCTCGACTGCAAGCCCGACGACCTGCTGAAGTTCAACGGCTCCTTTGTCATAGTTGGGTAGCATTTTACATATTATGGGTATTTAATCCCAATAAGGAATGCTCTAGGGCTTACAGGGCCTATGGGGGTCTATAGGGTTAGGGCTTAGCGTTTAGGGGTCTTTGTCATAGTTGGGTAACATTTTACATTTTATGGGTATTTAAACCCAATAAGGAATGCTTTAGGGCTTACAGGGCCTATGGGGGTCTATAGGGTTAGGGCTTAGGGTTTAGGGGTCTTTGTCATAGTTGGGTAACATTTTACATTTTTATGGGTACTTAAGCCCAAGAAGGAATAGAAATGTAGATTTTTAGTCCTATCCCAACCATGACCTAGGCTCCTTGGCTTCGGGTTAGGGCTTACAGGGCTTAGGGGGTTTGCAGGGTTTCCAGGGTTTAGAGTGGTATGTTTGAGGTTCTAGGCTTATGGGGTTTATAGGGTTTCTAGGGTTTACAAGGGTGTTTTTTAGGTTCTAGGGTTTGGGGTTTATAGGGTTTCTAGGGTTTACATGGGTATGTTTTGGGTTCTAGGGTTTTGTGGCTTTATCGAACTAAAGATGTAAGAAGCTCCTTGGCTTCAGAGGGTCCTTCAGAACAGGGTTGAGGGTTTATGGGTTGAGGGTTGGGTTTAGGGTTTAGAGTCGAACGGCTTATGGGGCTTCGAATTTTGATTTTTGGTAGGGTTGCAGTTGTCTTGCTCACACCCCGAATTCCATGTCTTTTGTTTCATATTATTTGCTTCAGTTTGGTATTTGACTGTGGTGCAGGGTTTAGGTCCAGGTTTCGTTGCATGTCTTTCGGGTTAAGGGATTGTCGGTGCGTCTAGGTGGGCTCGAGGCTTTAATCTATGGAAAAATCAGCAACGGACATACAGAGATTGTGTAGTGATGTTAGTTGCTGCAAAGGTAATTGGAAGATCCTAAGCTCTTGCACGCGCCGAGCCGTTAGTAGACTGGGTTCTTGTTAAGGAACTTAAATTTAAGCTACCATAAATAGGGATCTATGGTAAATAATAGGGTTTCCTTATTATGGTAGCTTAATTTAAGTTCCCATAAATAGGGATCTATGGTAAATAATAGGGTTTCCTTATTATGGTAGCTTAATTTAAGTTCCCATAATAGGGATCTATCGTAAATAAATAGGGTTTCCTTATTTACGGTAGCTTAAATTATAAGTTCCTTAGCAAGAGCCCAGTAGAGGGGACAGGGGGGGGCTTCAGGGGTTCTAGGGTTTACACACTCTCGGGTCATAGGGTTGAGGAGCTTCTTTTAGGGTTTAGGGTTTAGGGCTTAGGGTTTAGGGTTTAGGGTTTAGGGTTTAGGGTTTAGGGTTTAGGCAGAATCCTCCAAAAGGCTTCCCCTGCGTATGGAGGTACTAGGATCCGAATTTCAAGTCCTTTCTAGTGGAGTTCATCGTAAGCTTTAGAGCTTAGCAGTTCCTTGCAACAGGCCTCTTCCAGCGCTCACTGGGCGACGAGTTCGGAAATGCCATCCGAGGAGATATTAGCCTCTCGACCTTCTGTAAGAAAGGACATCTTGCCTGTGCTATTTTGGGGTTCCTTATTACAACTATATAGTATCATGGGCCACAAAACCCTATTCTAATTATCAAACCGCTAGACTCGACCTGATCTTCTGGCTTTGAGGCAGTTGTGACTTCCTCAATCTTAGAAGGTTCAAAAAATATCTCAATATCTCAGGGGTCCAAAACAAAAAGGTACCCGGAAAATGGGAGAATGGAGTCTCTGGGATTCTAGTTCCTGGTCGTGCTGCGTCCGAAAGAGACTCCGACGCAACTCATGCAAAAACTCGCAAAAAGGATCCCTAGTAGAGTCTGAGGTATCTCCTCAGCGGCTGAGGATGTAGGGTCCTAGTCAAATCCCGGAATACACCACAAAGATTAAGCCCTAAACCCACATAATCCTGAAGCTTAAAGCCGAGATAAGGAGCCCGAGAGACCCTGCGCTTCCAAGCACTTGAAAACGTCGAGCCGCAACGCATTGAGGGTTTAGGGTTTAGGTTTTAGGATTTAGGGCAACGCTCTTTGCACCCAAGAAGGAGGCGCTATTGGAGATTTTGGTCAGCCCTTTAAGCTTGAAAATCATCAACCCTAAAACCTGCATCCTAAATCCACAGACTTCGTGCAGAGGCAAGCTCACTGCTTCCTACGGCGTGATCATCGCGCCTTGGTTGCTTTTGGGCCTCCCTACGGATCTCAGCTGCTTTGAGGTTTAGAGTCTGAGCTTGATTACCCTGACAGCTTCGGTCGGGGCCGAAGCGAGTTTAGCAAGGTTTAGGGTTTAGGGTTGAAGGTTCAGGGTTTGGGGTTTAGGGCATATACCCCCTATTTGAGGCTACAGGTCCTGGCTTAGTTTCGGGTTTAGGGTAGACACTCTCAATCGGGTTCCTACATTATTGTAGTACCCTTATAGATCCCAAGTAGTAACACTTATAGACCCCTTTAAAACCCTAAAAAAAAACCCGAGGGTAGACACTTAAGAGAAGGCTCCGCAAAGCCCTGAGCCTGCAAAAACCGAACAGCGCGAAGATCCGAAGGTCTGTTCAAAGCCCACGCGGAAGACTTCGGTAGGGTCCCTATGACTGCTATATAAGGGTTCATAGCAGAACCTACAAAAAAGTAGGTTAACAAAAGCACCTTATGGTCAGTTATGGTACAGCAGTTTAAGCTTAAAGGCTCTTGGGCGCAGGACTGGGGGAGGTTTCCTCGATACTCTGCGAAGCCCTTGCAGTCCATACTGCACTTTGCTCATATAGGGTTGAGGGTTTAGGGTGCCCCTCACCTGATGCTTTTCAACGGTTTTCATACAACCGACACTCAAACTTGAAATTGACGGCCCAGACGAAGTTGCGAAAGCTTTGACGTTTGCAGCAGTTTAGACCGCACGCAATGTCAACCCAAAGTCCATCAGATGCGGTTCAGGGTTTAGGACTTGAAACACGGCTGGGGTAGTGAGGAGTTTCATGACCGAAGTATACGTGGATCACGGGGAATTGGTTGCACAAATTCGTATTTCAGATGCCATGATGCTCTTTGCGAGGGCGGAAATTGAGAACCTGACTATGTCAGTAGTCGCGTATGCGACCCACCCCTGCTTGCGTGGTAGTAGTATTTTCCGCATGTATTCCCGAAGGTCAACCATTACTCTTCCTAGGTAACTGGACAAGTAAGGGGAAGGGTCTCTGTCGAGTCTTGCATTACGGGGACGGGCCCGCCTTGCGAAGAACTGAGGGCCAACGGAGACCTGGTTTCTTGCTTGAGAAACTCCATCTCTGTCGGATGCGTTGACATTCTCGACTCGCTACGCAGGAAATTGAAAGTATGCCACGTCCTGCCTAGTCCTTCCGGCCCAGGTGTACTGTGCTGCGCTTTGGATTGCAATCTTTGGAATTGCTGGTGGGCCAAATCCTAGATTGAATAGAACTCTGTGTTTTGGTATGTTCCTTCCGATGGATCGTGCTGGAGTTTTAGTTTAGTCATCAACAGCAGGGCCGAGAGGAAGTGTCTGCTCCTCAAATAAATCGGCGATGGGTTTAGTGTTCAGGGTTTCGGTTTTCGCGTTCAGGCGAACGGATCACGGTTTCTGGCGAGTTGCCGGGCCCTAGGTTTAGGTTTTAAGTGGTTTAGGGTTTGGGGTTTGCAGTCCACGGATTTGGATGGGTAGTTTTAAGATTGTAGAGCTTCTTAAACAAACGTTACCCTGAGCCGACCCTAGACGGGAGCCGAGATTGGAGAAGTCCCCCGCTAGGTCGCGCGAAAAACCAGAGACTTCGAAGCCTGCACCAGCTCGGAAAGGGACCTCCTGAGGGGTCAAGAAACCGTCTGCGTATGAACGCACACTACCGTACGTTACAGCATATGATCTCGTGTTCGCCTGTCCTTTTCTTGTTCTACAGACGCAGGACGCGTGTACAAGTAGCAACAGCCAGCGAAGCATGTATTCCAAAGACCTGGTCTACACAGGAAATGGATCAGGGTTTTACTCATGGAAATAAAGAAAGCGCCAGGGAAGGCCATATGCTCCAGAGGACCCTTGAACCCTGTAAGGTTGTGTCAAGGCTTCTCGATGCCCTCAACACGAAACCCCTGAACCCTAGACCCTAGTGACGGCAGCATAGCTTCTTGTCGTCAGGTAGCGTATCGCTTGGAATCGCCACCCAGAGAGTCCAATTCCCTGAAGTGAACAACATGCCTTACAGGGCTTCTTATGATGATGGAGGAATATTTATGTAATGCCGAGGAAAGCGACTTACAAGCCTAATTGTTGATTAAGTGCTACCTTTACAGGCTCTCAGGTTTGGGTTTAGACCATTCTGGTTAAGGGTGCTGGAATCTGTGCGTCGAAATTGGAGCTGCGCACCTGTCAAGGTTTGCATCTCTTGAAACTCCTAGCCTTGAGCCCCGAACCCAACCTTCATAGGCCCTAAACCGTGAATGCTGCTAGCAAGCTAAACCTTGAACCTAAAGCCTACGTGCAATCCCGATGATAAACCCTAAGCTCAGATCATGATTGGCAAATGTGATGCTGTGCACTCTGGCGTGTTCCTGTCCTTCGTGGCAGTACTGCAGCTTTGCGGCATTAGAGATCTCAGAGATTCGACTATTCAAGAAGGTTAAAGTTCGTGGCAGTTTACGTGTGTGGAAAACCTAGCTGAACTCCGACTCGCGATGCAGCCAATTTTGAATGCTCCGGTTCTAGATTCTAGATCTCTAAATCCACACTGAGCCTCAAACCCTGAACCCCGTAAACCCCTAAACTCTGAGCCCTTAAACCCTAAACCCCAGCCCTTGACTCCTGAGCACCCCCGTTGCCATCTGCAGCCCTAAACCCTAAACCCCTTAAACCCCTAACCCCTAAACCCCTAAACCCCTAAACCCCCTAAGCCCCTAAAACCTACCCCCTAAACCCCTAAACCCCTAAACCCCTAAACCCCCTAAACCCCCTAAACCCCTAAACCCCTAACCCCTAAACCCCTAAAACCCGAAAACCCTAAACCCTAAGCCCTAAAACCTACCCCCTAAACCCCTAAACCCTAAACCCCTAAATCCTAAACCCCCAAACCCTAAACCCATCCTGTGAGGCGGCTCAAGCACTCCGCTTTCGGAGTGATACCAAAGTCAGACACTAATGGGCCAAGAGTATTTCGGTGGTTCCTTACTATAGTTATAGTATGATGGCCCGCCAAACCCTATTCTAATAGTAGTACCCCAATCATCCGAACACTAGGCTGAGGACTTGCGTGCCCCAGGTATTGCTTCAGCAACTCTAGGGCTTACGATTGTTCATCCCTGAACCCCAAACCTGCGCGATTAGGCTTTAGGGCAGTAATACAGGGGCCTTAATATAGCAAATAGAAAACAGGGTTTGTGGGCTTTCATCCCTGAGCCCGAAACCGGAGGGATTAGGTTTTAGGACAGTAGCCAGCTGAGGATTGTCGGCCTCACGATCGCCAGCAACCCGTTCTGCACGAACAGCCCCGAGTCCGTCTTTGCGGAAGTGGCTGAAACTCTAAACCCCAATCCCAACTATAGGAGCTGAGAAATGTGCGTTGCTGTTCCTTGCGGTTCCTCATAGTACGTATGCTAGAAGAACTAGACACCCCCAAAGCCTTACTAGTCTAATGGATTGAAGGCCCTTGTAGCGGCTTGAGTACTTGGCGTTGTCTCGGAAAGTCGTCCGTCATCCCTGTATGGGAGTTTCCGAAAATTAGGGGTAGCTTATCTGAATTCCCTATAGTAAGGATCCTACTACTTCGGGTACTGTATTAGGGTCCCCTTTTTTCGGAAACTCCCATGTCATGGCAACATAACATACCACGGCCGCAGAGTGGCACTCGGGCACTCGCGCCACTGAAATGCCGTGGGGCATTAAGACTTGAATGAAGTACTAAGGCTGACAACCTACCTCTCACGTGCAGACTAAAACGCCCTACAAAAGCCCGCGAAGAGCACAACAAAGCACCCATTTCATGAAAAAGCCTTCTAAAGCACGGCTCTTTCCTTAGGGCCCTTCCATCAAGCCCTATACAGACCTAAACCCCGAACCCTAAACCCCTCAATCCCTAAACCCCTGAATCCCTAAAAGCCCTAAACCGAGGCACGCTGGGCCTGATGGGCTACTTCCAGGTTCCCAACGGTGCTTTGGTTGTCAAGGTTTATAGTGAACCCCAGAAAGTTGGAACATGGGTTTAGGACGATTAGTGCTGGGATTTCCTATACTTTACCTTCAAGGAATGAGGATAATGATGTTCCAACTTTCTGGCTTCTACTGTAGTATATGGGTGGTTGTCAAAATCATGGTCCCTTTTTTGGGTACCCTAAATATATTAGGTGCCGTACTATAATGGGTACCCAAAAAGGAAGCATAATTTTGACAACCACCCATATATTGGGTTCATCGGGTTTTGGGTTTGAAGGTTTGAGGTTTATGGGAATGAGGATGTCGGGGTCGAGGAGTGAATGTTTTTCGCTGGTTCTTGGGATTCCAACTTTTGGGAGTTCCGTGCAAGGCAGGCTAGGTCAGGTGGGTTCAGCAACTTTCTCGGGACTTAGGATTCACCGATGAAGATCGCCAGGACCCCATACGGGAGTTTCCGAAAACAGGGGATCCAAATATAGTACCCTGAATAGTAGGGTTCTTATCATCAAGACCCGCAAAATAAGCTACCCCTACTTTTCGGAAACTCCCATGTTTCCTGTAGTTGTATCAGGACCCCAGACTGGGTAGACCAATAACAAAACGTGTTCAGGTAGACCCCAAAACCCCCGAACTCTAGCCCCCAGGCTTCCAAAGATTATTCTCAAACCCAAGCCTGTCAAAGACACCCTAAATTCTAAATCCCAAACCCTAAACCTCTAAACCCTGAACCGATTTGGGGTCCGAGGCAACCTGAACAACAACCTGTACTTCTTGCTGCTCGGTCTGGGGGTGGACGACGCGTTCGTCCTGACCTCTGAGTTCTTGGGTCACACCCGTGCCAACAAGGAAGGGAATCGGCAGGGTTTAAGGTTTAGGGGCAAGAGGACGGGGTTTATGACTTAGCATCTAAGTAAAGGCGTTTGAAGTTCAGGAACTAGAACTGTGAGGGTTTGAGCATACGAATAGGTGTCTGTTTGGATCTTGCGTGCTCAGGGCGAACGGTGCTGAAATCTGAATATACCAAGAGGGTCCATATACACTACTATTATGGAATTAGGTCCCACAAACCATCATGGGGATGGTCTTCTGGGACCTTATTCCATAATGGTCGTACATATGGACCTTCTGGGATACTGGTTCTGCGAAGTTTTGGGGAGCTACAGCTGGAACAGGACTTTGGATCTACAGCATAAGCACATGAACAAGCAAAGAGTCATTACATCAGAGAGAGAGAGATGTGTGTTTGTATATACATGCACGTTCATACATACATACATACATACATACACACATACGTTTACATGTTTGTTTGGTGTTATTCTGGCCCCAATATCCAGAGATCCAACTAACTCTCCTTTGTGGCGTGAACTCTCGTGTTAGCGCGAAAGTGCAAGACAAGAACGTAGGAATCCGAATCTGGGGAATGCTGGTTTGCTCCAAGAATCTGAGTTATAGCAGGCCATACTTAAATTGGGGTGAAGGGTTATAAGCAGACTTTCGAAGTAGAGTCACAATCAAGCAGTCTAACCCCCACGAGGGTATGCATGGCCACTTGAAGTCCTACGAAGTTTCTTACTTTCCTAGTCTAAGTATCGATTCTGACTGGCCTCGCAGTCATCTGAGGCGCCTAGCCGGCAAGCTCCGACCCGACAAAAATCCGCATCCCGAAGGTTTCTGAATACTACAGGGGCCTCAAGAGTTACCCTTTCGGGGCTCCTCATTATGATCATAGTATAATGTACCCCAAACCCCATTCTTATTCTAGGGTCAAGTTTTTTACAGTGTAATAGAACCAGCCAAAACTCGCGTCCAACGACTACAGCCATGTTATCAAAATCGCATGAACCCATGCCCTAAAACCCTAAACCCTCAAAGCCTAAACTCAAAACGCTCAAACCCTAAACCCGAGTCCATGCAGAATGCTCTACTTATAACTTATAACCTACTCACTAAGTCCCCTGGGCCTCTAAGGAACCCGAACCCGAATAGATCCCCTTTTAAGGAACCCTGCGACTTTGGCGCCAGGACCTTCCGGTCGAGGAGCGCATTGCGCAGACTGCTCGCACAGGTGGAATCTCCGATTCTCGGCGTCACATGGAAGTTTCCGAAAATTCGGCGTACCTTATTTGGGGGTCCATATAATAAGGATCCTAATAGTTAGGGTACCATAGTAGGGTCCCCTATTTTCGGAAATTCCCGCATGAAGGACATAAGGCGCAGGGGGATAGGGCCTTATTGCCCCCAATAAGGATCGATAAGGGTGTAGTAAAGCTAATCTAGGATGTATAGTCCGGGGTAATGCTAAGAGGTGCTTGGAACAAAGATCCCATTCTCCAGGGTTCGATTATAGCGGAATTTCTGAAGACTCAGAGGTACGCATAACAAGTATCACACCGTATAGGATTCTAAACTACGTAGGGCTACTAGAACCTCAAGTTCCCAGATAAAGGGCCTCTAACACCTTGCAACCAGCTTTGTGGAAGCTCTTATGAAATCCTCGGAAACTCTGCTATTATAGAAGCCTGAATAATTAGCACGATATGGTTCCCTGGCGTTACAAACTACCAACAGACTATACTATACCCTAAAACCCTGTTCATATGCTTAACTTTAAGGCCCATATACTAAACCCCCCCATAGTACCCCCTATAGGACCACAATAGACACTATATCCTAAAACTTTAAAACCTTCAACCTTAAACCCTAAACCCCAAACCATAAGCCCCAAAACCTAAACCTAAAGCCCTAATCTAATTATCAAGGCAAGCGCTGAAGCCTCAGCGCTTTGGGCCCAAGAGCCCACATCCTACGGCGTGCCTGCTTCCCCTTCACCAGGAATCCATGGAGAACCTGATATCTACATATATACATATATATATATATGTAGATCTATCTATCTCTCTCTCTCTCTCTCTCTCCATATATGTATGTATACCTATATATATATATATATATGTACGCATACATGTATGGCTGGTTTCCTAAAAATCGAAGCCGAGGTTTTGATCACCTCTGCCACGGATGCCCTGGCATTTTTGGTTGGAGCCACCACGGTGCTCCCAGCTCTGGGCTGGCTTTTTGGGCGAGAAATGGGAGTTTCAGAAAATGCGGGGTACCTTATTTGGGGTCCTTATAATAGGGATCCTACTATTTAGGGTACTATATGAGGGTTCCCTACTTTCGGAAACCCCCAAATGGATGCAAGGGTTTCCTACAAGATACGGCGTACCAAAAGGGTACCATAATTTGGGGGCCTTAAGATTCCTACAGGCGATAAGGGGGGCTTCCATTTAAGCATTTTACAGGGATATCACTACCTTAATGGGCTTCATTATAAGGGGGGCTTATATGGGATATCACTATCCTAATTTTTGCTTATGTGCTTTTTTGGGGCCCTATCCTACAGGCGATAAGGGGGGCTTCCATACCTGGCCGCCAAAAGTATGCAGAATTATGGCCTTTTTATAGGTTTTGGGGCATTATTTTACCTACTTTTCAAATTTCCTTACCGTTGGCTGGTTGGGAATGGAGGGATGGGGTACAGTTATAACCAGTATTACTACCAGTCTTCCATTCCCTGCTGACCACAGGTAAGACAGGCGATAAGAGGGGCTTCCATAGGGTTTGATGGTAGGGTTTAAGAGTTGCGAGGGTTTTCTGCGGCTTGTGACAGGCGATAAGAGCGGCTTCCAGAGGGCCAGATAGTAGGGTGAAGAGTCTCTTCTGAGAGGTGGATAATTCTTCATGGGCTCCAAAAGTATGTAGAATAGTGGCCGTTTATAGGTTTTGGGCCATTATTTTACCTACTTCTGAGGGTCTAGGTAATGGGCTCCTGTATTACAGGATCTTTCTTCAGCCGAGTTTGTGTTGGGTATTTTTGCACGTGAAACTGTAGCACTGGCCCAGGTCCTTAAGGCTCTCCCAGACCCCTTAGTATACTTACCCTTGGTTAGTAGGGAATGGAAGAATGGTAGTAATAGTAGTTATGATTGTACCCCATTCCTCCGTTCCCTACTAACCAAAGGTAAGTTATAGGGGCCCCGAATCCCCATAATCCCCGATTAAATTCCTTGTAAATCCAGACACGGCGGATGAAACAACCAAAGGGTTCCAAGACACCCTTTGCGCGACAGCGACACCGCGCGACCGAGGTTCTGCACCTATGCAGGCCTGGATGGGGCTTTTATGATTAGAATAGGGTTTTGGGGCCCACTGTACTATACTTATAATAAGGAGCCCCCAAACAGTATAGGTCATGATTTAGGCCCCTCAAATGCGGGCTTTCTCAAGGTTATTGTGAGGCTCTGGTTCGACACGGGCACTAGAGGTTCTTTTTGTTTTGGATCGTGGGTATCTTTAGGCCATCGCTGAAGGTTCGGTCGATGCGGCGTAATATCCTGAGCCGAAAGAAGCGCGCTTACAAAGAACAGAAAGCCATACGCAGCCCTGCTATTGGGTCCCGGGTTTAGCAGGCTTAGTGGTTTATATAGGGCCGTAGGACTCTGGAATTTGGTTTTAAGGTTCAGTTGGGGCGTTGTTCATTGGGGTTTGCGACATGCGGTTGCCCGTGAGTTGCGTCCGAGGAATGCGAAGCACGCTGCGGGGGTGGGACTGCAGTTACACTTAGCAGAAGTATCATGGCGATGGTGCTGAGGCGAAAGAGAACCAGCAGGAACACGAGGAATTGCTGACTTGCTGGTGATGACAAGGACGATGATGATCATCATGCTGATGGTGACCGGGAGCATGCCCGCAAGTCTTGGTCTCTTGCGCTGTGTTTTGAAGCTGAGTCCGACGAAAGCCAGGTGTCTCCATCATGCTTTGCTTCACCTACCAGCTGACCGTCTTCTTGCCGTGCTTGGCACTGAACGCCTACCGCCACGGTCCCAGAGCTGGTACATGGAGGGGCTTCTGGTCGTGGTTCCTCATGCTCAGTAAGAGGGGGCCGCCCTTAACCCGAAACCCCAGAACCCTGTGACTCTAAACCCTAAGCCCAAACCGTCCTCCTTCCCATTACTCATCACTTCTGAAGCTCCACCCTGTAAAAAACTGGACACACCAGTATGGCGAATGATTTGAATATTATTCCTTAGGGTTCCTGAATATATGTATATGGTGTAGTGTTCAGACCCCCACATGGGAGTTTCCGAAAACAAGGGACCCTAATACAGCACCCTAAGTAGTAGGATCCGTATTATAAGGTCCCCAAAATAACGCACCCCGAATTTTCGGAAGCTCCCATATTCGTCTCATCATTCTGATCATGACAGTGCTTTTCGTCTCGAGGTCCAAAGACGTCTCAACTGTCGGATTTCGGGGTGAAAAACCAGTTTGTATCATCGAAGAAGGTTCATGTTCTCTAGGATGTAGAGCTTTTGGGTTAGGGGTGTCATGGGGTGTATTCGAAGGCTTGGAAGGTGCGTGTGCGGCTGATGTCGAGTGGAGAAGACACTCCGAGACATATCCAGGAAATAGAGGTTTTGTGGTATCGCGGCAACGCGTGAACGAACATAACAATTCTGCACTCTCGTTTTCTCCGTTTGGAGCTGAGGTGCGGAGAAAAATCGCGTGGACTGCTGCTGTTGCCACTTTGCTGGACTTGCGGAACATGTCCACAGAGACACTCGCGAATTTACACGGTCAGTCCAGAGAATCAGGGTGTCGGACTGGGGTTTTGGGTTTCAAGATGAATGCATCGAGGCACCGTAGTGCTCGGTATATGACGTGCAGAGACTCAGCTACAGCCGCTATTCATTGGCGAAACTCCGTGGATATCCCACATCGACTACTGACTGAAGTTCCGGAAAATCACACATATCGACCCTCGACATCCAAGCCCTAAACGAACAGCCCAAACCGCAGCAGCCCCTGAAATCGCAGGCTTCCGTGTGGCCGAGCGTCCTTTGGATGAGCCGAAGGGCTGTTGCTGCAACTGGTCTCAAAGGGTCAGAATCCTAATCATCGAGTGAGTCTGCAAGTCTGTATCATTCGAAGCCTGTTCTCTAGGTCGATCTTGAAAGCGTACTTACAATAGGGAACCAATGTCATACTTTTCAACGGGACAGGTTAGCTAACAGCTCCACCAGGAAGCCGGACAAGTATTGTGTGTACTCTAAGCCCCCACAACCCGGAAAGCATGTTGATCACTCACTCCATTTCCTCACCCTGAACCGTACAAAACGGATTCTGGCAAACGAAAAAGTGAAAGGGAGTGCAGGCCCCTTACCCTTAGCCTCAACCTTTAACCCTAAGGCCCCTAAACCCTAAACCCCTCACCCCAAACGTTGGGTTCAAAAGACCCTAAGCCCCCTAAACACAAGCACGCCTTGAAATCGAAGTGGTGATCCTAGTAGTAGAGTAGGTAACCTTTGACCTGTTGTTGGGTAGTATAGTCCCGATATAATCCCTATATAACCAAAAAGGTTAACCTTTAGTTCCCCATGATACCCGACAAGTGGGTATAATGTAGGCATAAGATGGGAGTTTCCGAAACTTTAAGGGTTTCGGCGTCCTTATAATAAGGATCCTGCGTCCGTGATACAGTCCTACCGACCTCTGTGTTGTGTTAGCTGAGGCTTCTGCTTGCCTTCCAAGGCTGGCTTTTGGGGAATCGGGGTTTAGGGTCTTTACGGCGAAGCCCTAGACTCCGGGGACCTCATTATTGGGTCCTTAAGGGGTCTAGGGCCCTAACTATAAGGTCCTTGGATTACCATTGCGCGCGCAAACAGCGGACGCGCACCGCTAAACCCGAGAAACCCGAGAAACCCGAGAAACCCGAGAAACCCGAGAAACCCGAGAAACCCGATAAACCCGATAAACCCGATAAACCTGATATCAGGGGCGCCCCATCAACCCAAGGCCCCACCCTCGGAGTTCAAGATGTGTAAGGGTTGCGACTTAGAAGGAAGGCAGGGGTGCCCCAGCAACCCAAGGCCCGACCCTCGGAGTTCAAGCTTTGAAAGAGTTCTGATAAAAAAAACCAGGGGCGTCCAAGGCCCCACCCCCGGAGTTCAAGCTCACTAAGAGGCGGTGATCTGAAAATCATGGGCGCTCCATCAGTCCAGGGCCTCCTCCTCGGAGTTCAACATCTGTCAAAGCTTTGATTTAAGAATCAGGGGTGCCCCATCAGTCCAAAGCCCCACCCTCGGAGTTCAAGGATCTGTAAGGGTTCTGATTTAAAAATCAGGGGCGCCCCGCCCCATCAGAGTCCAAGGCCCCACCCTCGGAGTTCAAGATTTGAAAGAGTTCTGATTAAACAAACCAGGGGCGTCCGAGGCCCCACCCCCGGAGTTCAAGCTCACTAAGAGGCGGTGATCTGAAAATCATGGGCGCTCCATCAGTCCAGGGCCTCCTCCTCGGAGTTCAACATCTGTCAAAGCTTTGATTTAAGAATCAGGGGTGCCCCATCAGTCCAAAGCTCCACCCTCGGAGTTCAAGGATCTGTAAGGGTTCTGATTCAAAAATCAGGGGCGCCCCGCTCCATCAGAGTCCAAGGCCCCACCCTCGGAGTTCAAGGTCTGTAAGGGTTGTGATTTAGAAATCAGGGGCGCCCCGCTCCATCAGAGTCCAAGGCCCCACCCTCGGAGTTAAAGATTTGAAAGAGTTCTGATTAAAAAACCAGGGGCGTCCAATGCCCCACCCCCGGAGTTCAAGCTCAGTAAGAGGCGGTGATCTGAAAATCATGGGCGCTCCATCAGTCCAGGGCCTCCTCCTCGGAGTTCAACATCTGTCAAAGCTTTGATTTAAGAATCAGGGGTGCCCCATCAGTCCAAAGCCCCACCCTCGGAGTTCAAGGATCTGTAAGGGTTCTGATTTAAAAATCAGGGGCGCCCCGCTCCATCAGAGTCCAAGGCCCCACCCTCGGAGTTCAAGATTTGAAAGAGTTCTGATTAAACAAACCAGGGGCGTCCGAGGCCCCACCCCCGGAGTTCAAGTTCACTAAGAGGCGGTGATCTGAAAATCATGGGCGCTCCATCAGTCCAGGGCCTCCTCCTCGGAGTTCAACATCTGTCAAAGCTTTGATTTAAGAATCAGGGGTGCCCCATCAGTCCAAAGCCCCACCCTCGGAGTTCAAGGATCTGTAAGGGTTCTGATTTAAAAATCAGGGGCGCCCCGCTCCATCAGAGTCCAAGGCCCCACCCTCGGAGTTCAAGATTTGAAAGAGTTCTGATTAAACAAACCAGGGGCGTCCGAGGCCCCACCCCCGGAGTTCAAGCTCACTAAGAGGCGTGATCTGAAAATCATGGGCGCTCCATCAGTCCAAGTCCTCATCCTCGGAGTTCAACATCTGTCAAAGCTTTGATTTCAGAATCAGGGGTGCCCCATCAGTCCAAAGCCCCACCCTCGGAGTTCAAGGATCTGTAAGGGTTCTGATTTAAAAATCAGGGGCGCCCCGCTCCATCAGAGTCCAAGGCCCCACCCTCGGAGTTCAAGATTTGAAAGAGTTCTGATTAAAAAACCAGGGGCGTCCGAGGCCCCACCCCCGGAGTTCAAGCTCACTAAGAGGCGGTGATCTGAAAATCATGGGCGCTCCATCAGTCCAGGGCCTCCTCCTCGGAGTTCAACATCTGTCAAAGCTTTGATTTAAGAATCAGGGGTGCCCCATCAGTCCAAAGCCCCACCCTCGGAGTTCAAGGATCTGTAAGGGTTCTGATTTAAAAATCAGGGGCGCCCCAGCACCAAGGCCCCACCTTCGGACTTCAGAATAACAAGAGGTGGTGATCTGAAAATCATGGGCGCTCCATCAGTCCAGGGCCTCCTCCTCGGAGTTCAACATCTGTCAAAGCTTTGATTTAAGAATCAGAGGTGCCCCATCAGTCCAAAGCCCCACCCTCGGAGTTCAAGGATCTGTAAGGGTTCTGATTTAAAAATCAGGGGCGCCCCGCTCCATCAGAGTCCAAGGCCCCACCCTCGGAGTTCAAGATCTGTAAGGGTTGTGATTTAGAAATCAGGGGTGCCCCAGCAACCCAAGGCCCGACCCTCGGAGTTCAAGCTTTGAAAGAGTTCTGATTAAAAAAACCAGGGGCGTCCGAGGCCCCACCCCCGGAGTTCAAGCTCACTAAGAGGCGGTGAGCTGAAAATCATGGGCGCTCCATCAGTCCAAGTCCTCGTCAAAGCTTTGATTTCAGAATCAGGGGTGCCCCATCAGTCCAAAGCCCCACCCTCGGAGTTCAAGGATCTGTAAGGGTTCTGATTTAAAAATCGGGGGCGCCCCGCCCCATCAAAGTCCAAGGCCCCACCCTCGGAGTTCAAGATTTGAAAGAGTTCTGATTAAACAAACCAGGGGCGTCCGAGGCCCCACCCCCGGAGTTCAAGCTCACTAAGAGGCGGTGATCTGAAAATCATGGGCGCTCCATCAGTCCAGGGCCTCCTCCTCGGAGTTCAACATCTGTCAAAGCTTTGATTTAAGAATCAGGGGTGCCCCATCAGTCCAAAGCCCCACCCTCAGAGTTCAAGGATCTGTAAGGGTTCTGATTTAAAAATCAGGGGCGCCCCAGCACCAAGGCCCCACCTTCGGACTTCAGAATAACAAGAGGTGGTGATCTGAAAATCATGGGCGCTCCATCAGTCCAAGTCCTCATCGTCGGAGTTCAACATCTGTCAAAGCTTTGATTTAACCAGAGGTGCCCCATCAGTCCAAAGCCCCACCCTCGGAGTTCAAGGATCCGTAAGGGTTCTGATTTTAAAATCAGGGGGCGCCCCGCCCCATCAGAGTCCAAGGCCCCACCCTCGGAGTTCAAGATCTGTAAGGGTTGTGATTTTGAAAACACGGGTGCCCCATCAACCCAAGGCCCGACCCTCGGAGTTCAAGATTTGTAAGAGTTCTGATAAAAAAACCAGGGGCGTCCGAGGCCCCACCCCCGGAGTTCAAGCTCACTAAGAGGCGGTGATCTGAAAATCATGGGCGCTCCATCAGTCCAGGGCCTCCTCCTCGGAGTTCAACATCTGTCAAAGCTTTGATTTAAGAATCAGGGGTGCCCCATCAGTCCAAAGCCCCACCCTCGGAGTTCAAGGATTTGTAAGGGTTCTGATTTAAAAATCAGGGGCGCCCCGCTCCATCAGAGTCGAAGGCCCCACCCTCGGAGTTCAAGATTTGAAAGAGTTCTGATTAAAACAACCAGGGGCGTCCGAGGCCCCACCCCCGAAGTTCAAGCTCACTAAGAGGCGGTGATCTGAAAATCATGGGCGCTCCATCAGTCCAGGGCCTCCTCCTCGGAGTTCAACATCTGTCAAAGCTTTGATTTAAGAATCAGGGGTGGCCCATCAGTCCAAAGCCCCACCCTCGGAGTTCAAGGATCTGTAAGGGTTCTGATTTAAAAATCAGGGGCGCCCCGCTCCATCAGAGTCCAAGGCCCCACCCTCGGAGTTCAAGATCTGTAAGGGTTGTGATTTAGAAATCAGGGGTGCCCCAGCAACCCAAGGCCCGACCCTCGGAGTTCAAGGTTTGAAAGAGTTCTGATTAAAAAAAACAGGGGCGTCCGAGGCCCCACCCCCGGAGTTCAAGCTCACTAAGAGGCGGTGATCTGAAAATCATGGGTGCCCCATCAGTCCAAAGCCCCACCCTCGGAGTTCAAGGATCTGTAAGGGTTCTGATTTAAAAATCAGGGGCGCCCCGCTCCATCAGAGTCCAAGGCCCCACCATCGGAGTTCATGATCTGTAAGGGTTGCGACTTAGAAGGAAGGCAGGGGTGCCCCAGCAACCCAAGGCCCGACCCTCGGAGTTCAAGATTTGAAAGAGTTCTGATTAAACAAACCAGGGGCGTCCGAGGCCCCACCCCCGGAGTTCAAGCTCACTAAAAGGCGGTGATCTGAAAATCATGGGCACTCCATCAGTCCAAGTCCTCATCCTCGGAGTTCAACACCTGTCAAAGCTTTGATTTCAGAATCAGGGGTGCCCCATCAGTCCAAAGCCCCACCCTCGGAGTTCAAGGATCTGTAAGGGTTCTGATTTAAAAATCAGGGGCGCCCCAGCACCAAGGCCCCACCTTCGGACTTCAGAATAACAAGAGGTGGTGATCTGAAAATCATGGGCGCTCCATCAGTCCAAGTCCTCATCCTCGGAGTTCAACATCTGTCAAAGCTTTGATTTAAGAACCAGAGGTGCCCCATCAGTCCAAAGCCCCACCCTCGGAGTTCAAGGATCCGTAAGGGTTCTGATTTTAAAATCAGGGGGCGCCCCGCCCCATCAGAGTCCAAGGCCCCACCCTCGGAGTTCAAGATCTGTAAGGGTTGTGATTTTGAAAACACGGGTGCCCCATCAACCCAAGGCCCGACCCTCGGAGTTCAAGATTTGTAAGAGTTCTGATTAAACAAACCAGGGGCGTCCGAGGCCCCACCCCCGGAGTTCAAGCTCACTAAGAGGCGGTGATCTGAAAATCATGGGCGCTCCATCAGTCCAGGGCCTCCTCCTCGGAGTTCAACATCTGTCAAAGCTTTGATTTAAGAATCAGGGGTGCCCCATCAGTCCAAAGCCCCACCCTCGGAGTTCAAGGATCTGTAAGGGTTCTGATTTAAAAATCAGGGGCGCCCCAGCACCAAGGCCCCACCTTCGGACTTCAGAATAACAAGAGGTGGTGATCTGAAAATCATGGGCGCTCCATCAGTCCAAGTCCTCATCCTCGGAGTTCAACATCTGTCAAAGCTTTGATTTAAGAACCAGAGGTGCCCCATCAGTCCAAAGCCCCACCCTCGGAGTTCAAGGATCCGTAAGGGTTCTGATTTTAAAATCAGGGGGCGCCCCGCCCCATCAGAGTCCAAGGCCCCACCCTCGGAGTTCAAGATCTGTAAGGGTTGTGATTTTGAAAACACGGGTGCCCCATCAACCCAAGGCCCGACCCTCGGAGTTCAAGATTTGTAAGAGTTCTGATTAAAAAAACCAGGGGCGTCCAAGGCCCCACCCTCGGAGTCTGATCCGAAAATCATGGGCGCTCCATCAGTCCAAGTCCTCATCCTGAGTTCAACATTTGTCAAAGCTTTGATTTAAGAATCAGGGGTGCCCCATATCAGTCCAAAGCCCCACCCTCGGAGTTCAAGGATCCGTAAGGGTTCTGATTTTGAAATCAGTGGTCGTTCGCTGAGAAATCCGCCGAATAAGATGCAATAACAACACGTGAAATGTAAAAAATTCTCTCTGACTGACAGTTGAAGAGAAATCGCAGGACTGCGGGAACTGCTGCCAGCAATGAGCCACAAAAACCTGGTACGACAGGCACTGCCCGGAAATCGCAGGCTGCAAAACCAATGTCGCGACTAGGCTGCGACAGCCACAGGGTAGTATTGCCTGTGTGCCAGGCTGTAGGCAGAATTCCAGCGCAATTCCAGCGCAATTCCAGCGCAATCGGCGCAATCGGCGCAATTCGGCGCAATTCGGCGCAAACGGCGCAATTCGGCGCAAACGGCGCAATTCGGCGCAAACGGCGTAATTCGGCGCAATTAGCGCAATTCGGCGCAATCGGTGCTTTCCATCGCATTCCAACGCATTCGGCGCATTCCAGCGCAATCGGCGCATTCCAGCGCAATCGGCGCAATCCAGCGCATGGCCATCTGCGGCCACTGAGCCCGCACGCATTGTGGATTACTATAGGGGCCTAAACGATTACCTATACTATTTATTCTGCGGGGTTCCTGATTATAGCTATAGTAAAAAAATGGGGAGGAGGACGCTGTGGACGCTTGTTTGTTCCACACCGGATCACAACATCAAGCAGTCGAAAACATAAAATGAGCAACACCCATCCAGAAGCAGCCATGGTCACCCCTTCGAAGACCCACCTTCATGTAGTTTCCTATCCGGATATTACCTTGGTCCAAGGCTCTTTATAGATAGACGCCATATGAAACAGCGCGAATTACGATGTATTCTCGGTAGATTCTATCTTATGGCCTGCTTGCTCCTCATGAAGCTTCTCATGAACCAATGTTAAGCTTACCCAAAAACCTCTGACCAGGATCCGGCCGGGCTTGAATATAACTTATGAGGCACCAGGCGTGGCATTGTGGTACTTTTCGCATGTGCATACAAAAGTAGGGTATAGTATAGTAGTGCGTAAGATATAATATGGCATGGTGCCCGTATACTGGAGCGTAAGATATAGTATGGCATGGTGCCCCGTAATATGGTAGTGCAGTATTGTGACATACAGTCTAGTTCATCATGTATGTGTAGTATAGCATGATACAGAACAGCTGTATACTGTGCTATAGCCAGGTTATGGTAGTCTGATATCATACGAACCTGTTGAATATGAATACTGTAGGTCGAAGGTAGAAGACAGAGATCAGCCTTATGTTCTAGTCTAGTGTATTACAATATGTTGTGATATGACATTGGCAGTAAAGTGCACGATAGCATATTGTAGTGTTGACGCTATATTGCAGTGTGGTATAGCATACACTATATGGGATACGATAGTCTAGTATAGCACTACCGCAGCATGGTGTAGGAAAATACACTGTTGCATGGCCCTGTTTACTATGTTTACTATTTTAGGAGGGTGTAGTAGAGCATAGCATGATATAGCAAGGTATAGTGCGCTAGCATAGTATAGCGAATTATAGTCAGGAGCCTAGTGTACTATTCTGCCGTCAGTTCTAGTTCACTATATAAAGCACGAGCATAGGTCATAGAAAGAGCGATTTGCGTGCATGAACCGAAGAATGTGGTACCATGCACACCACATATCCACTTGCAAGGCTCGGGGTCGACACCACAGGGTATCTGCTCGCAGTACTCTCGGTGCCAAAATGGCGGGGTATATCGCAAGTACGAATTGAGGCTGTGCTTTCTTTGGTAGTGTGTGTGTTATGTCAACGTTTACGATGAGTAAACTGAGTAAAATCACGAGTTCGGCTTCCCATTAGGCTAATCTTCATTCACTGGACTAATCGAAGGGCCTTCAATTGCTTGTATCGGCTATGCATATGATATGATATACAATTTTTCAATTTAGGTTATTAGAGCGTAGCATAGTACAATGTATTAAAGATAAGCATTGACGCCATAATCTAGCATGGTGTAATGCAGTCTAGTATAGCAAAGTGCAATGTAGTACCTTTCAATACGGGCAAACCCAGTACAGTAAACTCGAGCATAGATGACGATTAACTATCAAATATTGAGTGGTACTGTGTCGACTGCTATGCAATGCAATGCGGTCTCGTGCAATCCAGCATAGCACAAAGGGGCTTGGTATATGGTAGTGCAACTTACTACATTCAAACATAGCCTAGTCTAGCACCAACGCAATATAGGATAACCTTGGACGTTACAGTGCTGCATAGTCGCAATGGTGTAAAAACAAATGGCTACTATAGTATATCAGCGGCACACCTGTAGTCTGGTTTGGTGGAATAGACTATAGTACATAATTATTGGGAGCCCTATGATCCTGAGCTCTGCAGAATTAAGGTCAACAGGTTTGGAAATATGGAAAGCCCAATGGAATTCCACATCTCCACATGTGCAAAGCTCTGTGGCTTTGGACGCAGCACATGTGGAAAGGTGGAATTCCATTGAGGTTTCCGTTATGTGGCAGACAGACGCAATGCTAGGCCCCCTGGGTCCGAGACCCAACATTGCAGAAACAAAAGTTCTTGGACCCGCTCCGAGAGCCACGCGCCCCGATTTAAAGATTTGGAAAAACTTAAGTGTTTAAATCGGGGCCCCGGCTCCAAGATGGATCCAAAAAACATCTTTCTGCACATTAGTTTCTTGGATCCATCTTGGATCTGGGAGGGCCCCGACTTAATGACTTAAACAAATTAAGTCATTAAGTCAGGGTCCTGGATGGATCCAAGATGGATCCAAGAAACTTTTTCCTGCAATCTTGGATCTTGGATCCGGGAGGGCCCCGACTTAATGACTTAAAAAATTTAAGTCATTAAGTCAGGGCCCCGGCTGGATCCAAGATCCAAGATTGCAGACAAAAGTTTCTTCGATCCATCTTGGATCTGGGAGGGCCCCGACTTAATGACTTAAAAGAAATAAGTCATTAAGTCAGGGTCCTGGCTGGATCCAAGATGGATCCAAGAAACTTTTTCCTGCAATCTTGGATCTGGATCCGGGAGAGCCCCGACTTAATGACTTAAAAAATTTAAGTCATTAAGTCAGGGCCCCGGCTGGATCCAAGATCCAAGTTTGCAGACGAAAGTTTCTTGGATCCATCTTGGATCCGGGCGGGGCCCGACTTAATGACTTAAAAAAAATAAGTCATTAAGTCAGGGCCCCGGCTGGATCCAAGATGGATCCAAGAAACTTTTTCCTGCAATCTTGGATCTTGGATCCAGCCGGTTCCCTGACTTAATGACTTAAAAAAATTAAGTCATTAAGTCAGAGCACCGGCTGGGAACACAACCGACAAGGAAGAAACAAGCGTCCACGGCGTCCCCTTCTGTAAAAATAATGGGGTCCCAAAACCCTCTTCTAATTCTTAAGGCCCCTATATTAGGGTTTTTACGGCGTAGGGTGTTGAGATTCGGAGTTAGGGTTGACCTGTAGATTCGGGTGGAATATTCATGTTGATTCAGGTGTTGCATGTTTTTTGGGTGGGGACGGCTTGAAAGAGCTGCTCTCGACCAAAGCGCCTAGATCGGTTGCTTCGACCCAGCCGTCCCTGCGACAACTAGAGGGGCCTGAGCAATTGGAAGAGTTTGTTTTGGGAAGTTGTCTAACACTGACCCTACAGGAGTTACTGCAACTCCAAGGGGCCTAGTCGTACGGCTTTATACTAAAAGGTTTGGGGCTTCGCGCTTATCCGTTTCTTGGGTTAGGCTCTCCCCTACGGCAGTCACAAAACGAACTGGGTGAGTGTGCTTCTTTTTTTTGGGGGGGGGGATTTTTGATAATTATAATATAGGGTTTGGGGTAATTATGTGTTTCTTCATGTTCCTGATTTCACTGTTATACCCGAGACTTTGACTTCACAAGCTACTGTTATGAAGGGCGTTGGAGCTACATGTAGTGGGTTTGCACCCGGGTTTGAGAGAGGGACCCGTCAAAACGAATGCAAGCTGTATCTACCAACCCTGGCTACATGTATTCGACACGTTCCTCCTGTAATGTTTAGAAGCCCTGTGTGTACAACAGGGCTCCATTCGTGGATCCTGTAGAATCTTCCGTCGGTGTGGGAAAGTTTTCAGACGCCCTGAGGCGGACCCTGCAAAACTTCTCAGACCTCCGAAACCCGAACCACTAGCCCCCCAAGACTAATGCCCTGGGCCCTCTATACACTCTAATCCACTGCGTAGACCCAAAAACTTACCTTTGGCCAGTAGGGAAGGGGAAGACTGGTAGAAATAGTAGTTCTAATTGTACCCGATTTCTCCATTCCGTACTAACCAAAGGTAAGAAAAGCTCTGTTGTTTGATCCAGGCTTATAAGGGCGGCGTCTTGAAGCGAGGAGACAGCCGGGCTCGGGGCTTTCTTCCTGTCTGCGATTTACGCGGGGGTTGTTACGGCGTTCTTGTAGGATCTGTCATGTTGTTGCAGAGTTCTCATAGGCTTCCGTAGGGTTTTTGAGCCAGAACCAAAACTAGCGCCCCCAAAGCATGAATAGCCAATCCTCTCTCACCACGAGGACTGAAGCGCTTCGCAGAGATTATTACGACGCCGGTGGGCCAGGTGCGGTGTTCTGGCACTTGAGGTTGCGGAGGTTGCTTTTTCACCTGCTGGCGCAAGTGAGCAACCTGTTATTTAACTACAATGAGTATATATGGCCTTCTCTATATATAGTCACTAAGCCCTGTCCCGAACCCTGAACTTGCTTTCTGCGTTGCGCTGTTGATGTGTGCGTGTTTCGACTTAGTTGCCTATGTGCGGCTCTGCTTGTGGCACAGTGGTTCCCAATGTCTTAGCCTAGCTAATTAAGGTCCCTTTTAGGGTACTTATAAGTCTACTTAGTACCTACTTACTAAGTCCTAGGTTTCAGTGCTGCCAGGGGGAAGATGTTTGCAGCTGTGGTTCCACCTGCGTCGGCAAAATGCACTAGACCTTAAAGTCGGCCCTCAACAACACCTGGGCAGATCGTCACCTTCGCAGTCTTCCTTGGCGTGGCCATTGCGGGAGTGTACGGTTCCACGCTGATCTACAAGGACGATGCACCGTTCGCAGATGGATGCAGTTGCAGCCTCCGACCATGGCCTTTGGGACGGGTCGTATATAATGTGTAAAGTCACTGAAAAGGAACAAGAGGATTCCCAGAAGTTCCAAAAACACCCTTCATTCGCGACATCATGACGAAAGAGTTAAGGAACAGTCCCAAACAACCCGGTACGGTAACGCGCTTTCTGGAGTCTCCATCCTATCAGGATTTCAAGCTGGAGTGGTTCATTCCGGACTCCTCTTACGTGCCTCCCAGCTGAAAGCTTTCGGGACCTTGAGGTTCTTTGAGGTGCTGGGCGCCGTCAGCATGCATACGGACGTGCGACAAACAGAAAGAGACAAGGACAAGCTGGAGTATTCTTAGAGGGATTAGAACAAGCAGCTGTATCATTCTTGACACAAGCGGCCCTAGGAATCGCAGTCGCAGTGGCAACAGTGGGTTCAGCAGTCACAGTGCCCTATAATCCCAAGTCTCAAGGCCAACATGCTCAACCAACTGAGCACCCGTCCCAGGAACAATTTCTTTAACATCAACAGTGAGTACTTCTCCACAGGCACGGCGTACTGAAACCTCCGATTTTTGTTTCAAGTTTCACGATCGAGGGAGCTTCGGGTCTATGGGGCTAAGGGCTTCTAGCGTCTTGGGCGCTTACGGTTTATATGGGGTTATGGGCGGGCTTTGGTAAGACAGCCTTCTTGTGGGCCACAAAAGGCGACGAGAGCAGGACGAATATCAAGACCAGTAAGGCAGGAGTCCTAAACCAATAATGCGTCAGTGAGTGGATGGACTCCGTGGTTCAGGGTCTATAGGGTTTCGTGCTTCAAATTATGTAAGGGGCAGCGGCTTGTTGGTAGGTTCGTGCGTTTGAAACAGCCTGGCTCTGCAAACTTTGGGTTCCGGCCATGCCTGGCCACTGTGTGAAATCTTCGTATTGACAAGTGACAATGTAGGAACATGATTAAGAAACCTTGGGCCTTTATTCGGGTTCCTTATATGAACCCTACTATTTTGGCGTCACAGGCCCAGGGTTTCTTTATCAGGTTCCTACATTCAGTGGTCCAGCAAGCCAGCCCCAGATGTCAAAGCTGCGGCTTGCCTGTACAGAGAGCTGCAGAGTCAGCAGTTGCAGGTTAGCAGCATGTACTGTCTTCTTACCGTGCACTGTACCACAAGAGCTTCAGGTTTTGGCCCCCGGATTCTGGCCTAGACTCAGGCTCTTACTCGTTTTGGATCGAAGCCTTCGGTGGAAAAAAAATGTGCAGCTCTCTTGGAGTAGCCTCCTTTTGGATCCCAGGGAAGGGTGCAGACCTCAGTTCATGACCACCCAGATGCAACAGGCACTGCCATCACTGTGAACTTCCCTGGCGCACTGGATGCCTTTGACCAGCAGCAGAATCTGCCACTTGTGTGCATGGACGTTTCCGACCGCCTTTGCCCATGCAGGGAATTTCTATTTGTAGCATGCTGTCTTTCGGGCCCGTAGGATTTCAGGATTCCGTTCGGCTAGGGAGGCTGTCCATGGAGCACCTGCTTTCCGATGCCTCGAAGTCTTTGGAGGTGATTCTGATTCTTTAAGGCCCCGACACTAGGGGCCTTAAGAATTACCGATACCATTCTGGCTGACTCAGAGATCTCGCGGAGCTCTAGAGAAGCTACCAGGCACGATGTCTACTCGTACCTGAACTCCTCGGACCTCATCAACAAGGACTCAATGTTTCGGGTTCAGGGCTTTTGGGTTTTAGCCTAGGGTTTAGGGCTCAGGGTGTCAGGGTGTAGGTTTCAGTGGGCTTGCTTAGTCTGCTGCTTCCTGCGGCGAGTTTAGAGTTAGGGTGTAGGGTTTAGGAGCCCTGGGTCTGAGAGAGTTTCAATCACTAGAAAGCCAGTGCAAGCGCAAGTTTCCAAGGTTGGGCAGTCCGATGTCCCGACTTCTCCTGGAAACCCTATGCAACGCCCTTGGCATTTAAAGTTATCCGTCTATCTATCCATCCCTCTCTATCTCTCTATCTAGTCAACCCTATTCTAATCTGATCTGAACTCATCTAATCGATCCTAATCTTATCTAACTTCATCTTATCTTGTCTAACCCAATCTCTCGTATTATCTTATCTTACCAATATCTAGTCTTATCTAATCTGCTCTATCTCTCTATCTATCTGATGTACTTTCTAAACCCTGCACCCTAAACTGCGGCCCCTGCCAAAAACAGCAGCTATCCCTGATCCGAATCCCGGTAATTCTTGTTTCGTTTTTCTCTATATGGTCTTTGTAGGGTTTATGCCTGCGTTTAGAGGGCTGAGGAAATGCTGGTAAGACTGATGTAAAGCTGCACATCGAGTTAGGGCCTGGGGGACGATGCTTTGTCTGTACTATCGAGGCATCCATAACAAACCCTGAACTTGATGTTCTCCGCCAGGATGTTGTTGTCGACAGCTGGTACCGCGAGTTCATGGAATGGGCCACCGAGCCGACCCAGGCCACCCCTGGTCTGGAATTGGGTTTAGGGTTTAGGGTTTAGGGTTCCTTGTAATAAGGATCCTACTATTTAGGGTACTATATTAATAGAGTTGGGGGGTTCAGGAGGCTGTTCGAGGTTTCAGCGAAGGTTTATTTGGGGCTTCTCGAGGCCCAGCAGGGGCCTCGGGACTTTCGGCTTTAAGTAGGGTTTCTGCGGTCCCCCAGGGGCCTTCCGGAAGAGTCATTGTTCAAGCGGTTTAAGCCGCCGGGGAAAGGTCGAGACAATGTCCGCCACGTTTTCGCCCTCCCGAAGCGATGCAGCTGCCATCTTCGCGGCGGGATGGGACGGGATTTTTCTTTCGTGCCAGGGGTAGGCGTTTTTCAGTTCATGGAAGTAATGTACTCTGCATACCACATTTCGTTACTCCTTGCTATGCTTGTTATACTACGTCATACTGCACTGTACCAACTTAACTACTAGTTGGACTCTCCATGCTTGGGCAAATCGCGTTGACATCCTCGACAGGAGTTAAACTTTTGGTTTGACCCCATGACCAAGACTCACATGAAACAACACAAGCCTAAGGCCAATTGGGTTCACCCAAGCGCACGCCTGAATGAAACTTAAGCTTCAAAGCCCAATCAGATCTCAAGCTTAGTTTGGGTTTAGCGTGCTGACCTTGCTTAGGGGCCCTAGATTCGGGCTTTGGTGCAATGCACCTCCGAAGCGTTCAGATATCAGGATCCACCAAAATATCCTGCATAAGAAGCGCAGTGGTTTCAATCGCGAGGTTTAGGGGTTAGGTGTTTAGAGTTAGGGTTTAGGGTAGAGTGTCTTCACACAAGGAGCCTGCGTTTGTAGGATCTGTAGAAAACGGAAGACCCTTTTGATCGTAACCACAGCACCGTGTTGTCGTCGACATATCCGTACCATATATGCTAAGATGCTATGGCCCACAGGCCTATTCCAATTATTCCCACACTCAGAAGTTCAAGACCCTTCTGGAGTAGAAGTCAGAACCTAAGGCGCAAATCCTAGGCAGTACTATGGAGACCCCTTGAAAGGGGACACAACTGAACCCTGCTTCTGGCTCTCTCAAAAGGGACCTTATTGAGAGGGTCTATATCCCCAAGGGTCCCCCTAGCCTATCTCCTGTTTGTCAAACTTGACAGCTCTTGCAACAATGCCCAGAAGCCCGATGAAAACCGGCGTTTGGTGCGTCTCCGCTGTGGAAACGAAGCAACGGTTCCGCATGAAATGAGTATATTTCGTGCCGCCCAAAACCCTGCTGAGGTCATTGCAGCCCGTACATCATTCACCTTTTTCAAGTCAGCCTGGTTGCTCTAAAGACATCCGTACCTGTGCCCCCAGCCCCGTACCTCATTTCGCTTTCCGCCAGAATCGCGCCGAGTTTTATCCAGCTCTCCATGTGTGGCGTCTCGCAAGCAGCGGATGTGCTTCCTAAGGGTCGTGAAATTGTCAGAATTGCATAGTCAAGGTTTTGCTTCTTCCGGCGCTTGAAATTGTCAGAATTGCGTAATTCGTTAAGGCTTTCCGTGTTGGGTTTGCAGCGTGGGGTGGTACTCATAAACTACCGATGAACAAGCTCATGCCTAGGTACCGCACCGCCGTGGGCTCTCGATACCGGAACTCGATGAAGTGGACAGACGAGGCAGAAAGTTGCTGTGTGTCGGAGCTAAAGTCTGTTGCTGGCGGGTTGTGATCGTGCAATATCGAGGGCCTCGGTGATTACCAATATCAGTTTTGGGGGTCCTTATTGTATGTATAGTCGAATATTTACCCCCTTAATCCCCGATATTAGGTGGCGACGATGATGATAGCCAGGTGCGGTTGGCGACGATTCTCAAGTTATAGTCGCGGTGTGATGACGACGAGGGTAGCTATGATATGAGAGCCAACCTGTGAGGGTCGCCGCATCCATAACATTTACCCATAGGCCCCATAGTGGTTCCGTTTTGGGATTGCCTTATTGGATTCTTAATTAATAAGAACCCAAAAAGGAACTACTAGGGGGGCATATGGGTAGTCATGAACATATGATGGCAATCGCGTTGACTGCGTGCTTTCTTGTGCATTGTATTGTTTGTGTCTTGGTGTTGGCGTTGGTGTGTGCATGCGCATTCCCTGGCCATGCTTGCTGCTGGAATGCCTTGCCTCTTTGTGTGCGGGCGCGTCGTCGCTGGTTTGGCTGTTGCGGCTGCTTCTGGACCTCAATCCCTTGATCCTAGGCCCCTTAAGCCCCAAATTTCTAAACGCCTGGTTGAACCCTCGCAGAGTCTGGACTCGAATAAAAATGCTCTGAGCTCCCACATGGGTCCACATTGTACATCGCTTTTTTTGGTTGGTCTATCGGTGCTACCGTTACCATGTAGAAGCTGAATCGGTAATTGTAACCCTTGTCCACAGGAAGCCCGTTTCCTGACATGAGCCGTGGTCTGGTTCTTCTCATCATGTAGGTCACTTCTTAGGGTTCAGAGTTGATGCAGGATTGCATGGTGAATGCCACTGTGGACAGCCTCCCCACCGGCTGCACGGTGTCGCTCGGAAGCGTCCATCTTACTTTGTACTTTGTACGTCGGCATCACATGGGTAGTTTTGTACATTAGGGTCCCTCTGTGGAACCCAAAATCGAGGTCTCACCCTCGCCAGAAGGACGTTTAAGGAGACCCCACTTTGCTGAAACCTCCAGATGTTGTCGCTGAGGACTGACGGGCTGTCTGCAACCCGCTTCAATGCCGAACTTTCCTTGGCTTCGACCAACACAGGCTCGCGTGGATTGCGCTTGAGGTATGATGCAGTTCTAGATGTTGCCTTGTTGTTGTTTTCTGACTCAATATTAGTATGAGTGGTCGTCGTCGTCGTCGCCCTTTTCTTAGTTGTAGTCGCACCGTAGTTTCATTGCTTGTCGCAGTGTCTCGTCGTAGTTGTTGCTTGCTTTCTTGCTGGCTAGCATGCAAGCATGCATGCTTGCAGTTGCTGAAGGATTAGCTAGTGTCGCCATGGTTGCTGGTATTGTCAGTTGGAGTGGTTCAGGCAGCTTCGGTGTACCAGCCTTGTGGCTACCGGAAGCCTGATCAAGAAGCCCCTGTCTCCCTATTCCTGACATCATCGCAGCCAGAACCATCAATACGAACCAGGTGGTTCAGGGAAAGGCGACAGGTTTCAAAGAAGGCTTTGTTGCTGGAAGAAATCTTGCATAACCTTGAGTCGATGAAGTGCCCCAGGGTGTGTGCATTATGCTTGTATGCATACTCCAGGACAATGTTTCATAAACCCTATGGGGTGCTTAACGGCCCAACCAAACTCAGTAACCAAACTCAAAACCCTAAGCCTGTAAACCTCAGATCCTGACCCCCGAATGCCTAAACCTGCAAGCCGTGAACCCTAAGGCCTAAGGGTTGAAATACTTCTCACAGTTTTGTCAGCCCAGATCTCCCACAACGAAATGCAGAGATCCCAAAAATGAGGCATTGTCTTCATGCACGTGTAAGAAAAGTGGGTTTCTATCAGTGCCATGGTCCGAGCTGGACGAACATCCCAACAGGCCATGAACCTGAACCTCGCATGTTCCCCGCCGAGCCTTCTTCTGATCACACCGTGCATTCAGCGATACCGTATCCATGTCTGCACATGCAGCTTGCTGTGCATGATGGCCAAAGCACTCGCAGCTTAGGCACAGACCGGTTCAACACAATGACCACCATGCGCAAAGAGGCAGGTGCCGCAGGGTTTTGAGTCTGAGGCTTGCGAGCATTAACAGCGGACCTGTGTTCTGCCTCACTGTATCCTTCAATCTCGAGCCGCACAAGGCACAGCTTCGATCGAATGGTCTAGGCAGCCGAGGAGTCAGGGCCGTTTCATTTAGGGACCTGGCTGGTTCGTAGCATCAATCATTGGGCTTCCCTTACAGATACAAGGTACTCTGCCACCTGGTATCGACGCTTCCAGTTTCTATTGCTCTTTCTACGATTGCGGCGAGTACTGTTGCCGACAGCATCATCGCAGTTCGGTACAACCTCCACCTCCATTTCCCCTACCGCCACAGCGATGGGGACGACTGCTACTTTCCATGCCGCTACGTAGATGCATCATGGTGTTTCATACACGCCACAACATGTTTAGATGATTCAGGACTTTTTCGCCTGCTGACCGTGCACAGCCTCGACAGCTTGAGACCCGAGCAGAGAGCGCCTTCACATATCCCGGCAGCTCCGAAGTCGATGAAAACCAAAGCCCCCGCCAGATTGATTCCCGCTACTCCGGTGCTTTCCCCTACAGCTTCGACTTCCTCTACTGGGAGGAGGCCAGGGAGTTCTGGAAAAACCCGGATTCCTGGGATTTAGATGTTGGGATCGACTGGCTCAGAGCCAACCTGCCGATACTTCAGAGCTGGGGCACCCTTCAAGTTCAGAGGCAGAAATCTTCACACGCATTCCGGAGTTGCAGGGTTTTGATGTCAAGCATGCAGAGCAAGTTGCCTAGGTTCAGCTCCTGGGGCTTGTGATGTGGCTCAGGATTCAACGGCGGGTTGTGGTCGCCTCACATGCCGAATCTTAAGAGGAATTTCGACCACGTGCCTTGTCGAGCCCGGCATATACATCTCCGAAATCTGCAAAGGCAAAAGAAAGCAGCAGATGAACAGATCAGTGTATTTGCGCACGCTCTGTCTATCTGTCTAAATGTCGTAGGCCTCGATGATGCGAAGGTACAGCTTGGCGCCGTGAATTGTTCTGCAAGGTTCACGCGGTACGGAATCCTCAAACCGAAAGCTTGAACCGATATCCCAAAATAGCCTAGACCCTAACCTTCCCAACCCCTAAACCCCAAAGGAACTCTTAAACAGGGTTGTCTTATCTCACCAGGTCGGCATTATCGACGAGGCTGGTTGCAGGGAAGGGCATGGAGACTGGTGCAAGCTCCCGGTTCTCATCCGATCTCAGCCATGTATATTTTCGCAAGCATGTGGGCCAGTGGGTGAAAGTTTGCCCAGGTTTAGCGCTTAGGCTAAACCGCTTCACCTTGTATCTTCCAGTCAAGCTGCGCAGTTACCATCTCGCGGGTTGTGCGCTGGGTTGGGTTCCAGGCTTCAGGGGGACTCAGTGAGGACTGTTGTGGCCCAATGGGATGGGACCCTAGTAGAACCATACAAAACTAGAACGACCTCCGAGCAGGTTTAGGAAGTTAGGGTTTCGTAAGGTACTATAGTACACAAGACTCACATACTATACTTGATTATACTTTACTACACTCTGCTATACTATACTGTGCAATTTCCCCCCCTCAATGTTTCAGAAAAGCTCCGATGAGTATCCTTGTCGCCGAAGTCCTGAGTTTCTACCAGCTTTGCCGTGAATCAAGGCCTAGAACGTGCCGTGAATCACTAGATCCTGCTGCGAGGCCCGTAGAGCTCGAACTTGGGGTTCTGCTTTTCGCTTGTGGGGTCTCGAGGCCTTGAACGCTAAGCCGCTTCACTTCCGGTTCCCTTTAGCTCTGACAGGAGCTCGTCCGAAATTTGATCATCTGCGGTGGAGTTATCCTCGTGGCCACTGAGCTCACAAGTGGGAGGCGAAGGTTGAGGGCTCACGTCTTCACAAAAAAAGCGTTCTGGGAGGGGGTTTGTCATGCTCACAATCTTGTTTACGGTGGCATCGAGTGTAGAGTCTAGGGGTATGGCAAGGGGGGGTGTACCGCAAGATAGATCCCAAAAAGCATGATGATCGTGATAACCCAGCTAGCGTCTCACGGCCTCTTCGGATCTATCCCCCTCAAGTAAGGAATGGTCCTTAAAGCTGCGCTATGCAATAAGGTTTCTCCGAATTCAAGGAACCTGTTCCTGAAAGCTATACTAAGAAACTCTATAAAGTTTGAGGAGCATTCCACAGTTAAGGGGTACAAGGGCTCTCTGGCGTTCCCTTTCCGACGATACCAGTCCGCAATTTGGCAGATCACGAGCTGAAAGCTCTACCGACAAAGCGAAAGATCATAAACTCCAAAAGCCCCTCAAGGCCCTCCAGCGCCCAAAGAACTGCCAAAGAACTCAATCCTAAACCATGAACCCCTAGACCCTGAACCCCGAAACCCTGGAAGCCCTGAGCCCCTAAATCCCTGAAACCCCTAATCTCCTGAAGCCCCGAAACCCCTGAAACCCCTAAACCCCTGAAACCCCTAAACCCCTAAAACCCTAAACCCCTAAAACTCTAAACCCTAAGCCCTAAACCCTAAACCTAACCCCTAAACCCCTAACCCTTATAAACCCTAAACCCCTAAACCCCTAAGCCCCTGAAACCCTAAACGCCTAAACCTTCGAGCCCGGCCTGGCTTAAGTCTTTGGTTCTCAGCTGAGGTCATCTTCGCCTTGGTCCCATCCGTCCGCATAGCGACCTGGGCTCCCTGGCTCTGGTTTAGGGTTTAGGGTTTTGGGTTTGGGGTTTTGGGTTTTGGGTTTTGGGTTTGGGGTTTTGGGTTTAGGGTTTTGGGTATTGGGTTTTGGGTCTAGGGTTTTGGGTTTTGGGTTTTGGGTTTAGGGTTTAGGGTTTTTAGTTTTAGGGTTTTTGGGTTAGGGTTGTGGGTTTTGGGTTTTGGGTTTCGGGGGCCCTGGTGGCAACGGTCCTAGGGCTTGCAGGGTTTATAGGGTTCTACAAGGGTCCTAGAGTTCCTAGAGTTGCTAGGGTTTGGGGGGGCCCGAATGGGGATTCACAAAGGTCCCAGGGTTTAGGGCTTTTCGGGTGTAGGGCATGAGTATTCATGAGAGTTGGGCATTTTGGGGGTTTTTTAAACGAGCCTTGATGAATGAAGGGATGGAAGGGGCCTGAGTTTTGGGCCAGTGCACGCCACGTCTGTCTGCTCATCTTCCAGAGATCTTGTCCACATCTCAACACAAACCAAGCTCCCTTTGGAGGAGCTCCTCCACCCCAAACCCTAAGCACCCATAACCTGCAAGCCATAAGCCGTAAAACCCAAACCCTACATACCAAATCGCGGCCAGCCCTAAACCCCAACCCTCAAACCTTAAACCCTAAAGCCTAAACTCCTAAACCCGAAACCTAAACCCAAACCCCTAAACTGTAAGCCCTTAAAAGGCTCCCGGAGCCCTACAGTTCGACGCCGCCGAAGCCTGAACCCAGGTTCACAACTCCCGGCTCTTGGCCCCAGTCGCAATGCAGAAGCTTGATAACAGCTATACCAATACTTTTCCGTCGGGTTGTAGAACCAACAAGCATATATGTACCTATACACATACTTACACCATAATATACCCTGAAACCCTGTCCTGATCTTCAAGGGTTCAAAGTAGCTCTGGCCGCAGGTTCACTTCAACCTGGTGCGAAGCGAGGGTCCAATAGGATGCATGGAATACTCATGTGCGATACGGCCAGTCTTTGTATCTTCAGCTTGCATCCCACAAGGTTGTCCTCTGTGTGGCGATGTCCATCATCAACACCTTGGGCTTCATGTACTACTGGGACGTCACCATCAGCGGCGTTTCCACGTCTCTCGGCCAGGTTGTGTATGAATACTGTGGTTGCTCTAATGAAATCCTGAACAAAGTCAGAAACCTTTTCGTGGCGGAGGTCGCATGAACAATAATCCTACATGCAAAAATCGCGCATGGCGGAATCCCGGATCCTGACGCGAGGATTTATGTGCTGATCTGCGTCGGCCTGGCAGTGGATTACGCGGCGCACATTGCCCACATGTTCCGGGAGCACCGAAGTTTGGGGTGTTTGTTTCAGGGTTTAGTGTATATAATTTAGGAACCTAACCAAAAAAACCTCGCCCTATAACCTCGCCCTATAGCCCCCAAGTAGTAGGATTCATATCAGGAACCTCAACGAAAGCCCGAGGTTTCTTAATCAGGTTCCTGCATGTATGTTCCGAAGTTTCTGCTGATTCAGGGGTGGGGTCCATGAGGCCAGCGGTGTAATTTGGGTGGATGGCATGGCAGCCTACTCCCACAACCACGGATCCTCATCCCGCAGCAATGCTATGTAAACCCTATAACCCCTAAGACCCGAAGCTGTCAAAGCCCTCAACCCCAATTAATCCACCTAGGCCCTCTAATCTACCCTCAATACCCACTAAGAGCCACACTGCCTCTATTAAAGGGCACTTGGCGGGGTTCTACTCCCTAAGCCGTGAAGATCCTGAGCCCTAAGCCTTTGCTGCTGAGAGGCTGGTTAATCTCATCAAAAAATTACCTCTACTGTTTTGCGGCCATTGTAATTATAGTAAAATATACCCAAAAACCCTATTCTAATTATTTCGGCCCCCCATAGTAGTTGTCTTTGAATGTCGGAGTCCCTTGTGAGACGTACTGCCGAGTATTCCTCCAAGCTTTTGTAAGGAGTAATGGTCCAAGTAGTTTGTTCTAGTAAGTTGATTGCGAACTCACAAAGACAACAGAACTCGTATCAAGAGCCCGTTCGTGAATAAGTCATCAGATCAGAACTGCCTGCTTCGGCAGTTCTCAGGAAGCGCTCGCTCTCTTTCTTCCTTCTCTCTCTCTCTATCTCTCTCTCTCTCTCTCTCTCTCTCTCTCTTTCTCTCTCTCTCTCTCTCTCTCTCTCCGTCTCGCTCTCTCCCTCCCTCCCTCTCTCTGTCTCTCTCTCTCTCTCTCTCTCTCTCTCTCTCTCTCTCTCTATTATATATATATATGCATGTGCGTGTATATATATATATATGTATGAACATATATATGTAGACATACATACACTTAGGTTTATGTATTTACTTCCGCATACATATTGCAAGCTTAGTACTCGCTACAGTCTACGGACCCTAAACCCTAAGCCCCTCGACCCCCAAACACTAAACCCTAAAGAAAACCCTAAAGTGCTATGGAGGAGTCGACCGGCACTTCACGGGAGCGAGCTATCGCCGCCATGGAGCGGATTGGGCTGCTGGGCTCTGGTTCAGGGGTCTGGGGTCTGGGGTTTAGAAGTTTAGTGCCTTAGGGTTTAGGGGTTCAGGGTCGATCGGTGGTAGGGGAAGGGGGCTTTCTGCACTTCAGCCACAGGATACCGTTCAAACCTTGCAGAACCCTGATCCACAGCGATTGAGACCGAAATTCTGGGCCCTGGGTCCTACGTCTGCAACCTTGACGGGCTAAGCTTTGCAACCTCGCATCATACAACACGAGCTGTTAGATGGGGCCTGCCGTCCAGCGCGCCCCAGGCATGAGCCCTGATGTGGCTCGAAGAGACTTACCCGGATTTCCATGTTTCGAAAACACTATATGGTGTAGCCCAAGACTCTAGACCCGACCCGTCTTGAACCTCCTCTTGCCATCAGTCATTAGTAACAGTTTCGGTGTTCATTATTGCCTTATAGTCGTGTTGTATATGAATACTATGACCACAACCCTGTTAAAATCTATTCTGCTTATGGACACCTCCCCCTCCCACAGCAATTCCTCAGCTTTGTCGACCCTTCAAAGCTCAGGCCTTGCACCTTCAACGCCGTGCTTTCCACGCTCCTTGCAGTGGCTTCACCTGCGAATCTCTGGGAGCTTGATCGTAGGAGTCGGAATAATTAGAAGCAGGAGTCTCTTAAGGTGCTCATATAAGCATGGCTCGTAGTCGCTCTATTTTCGGCAGCCTCGTGGAAGTATAGCAGGCCTCTCTGTAGCACTTCTTCTGAGTTGAGAGTCCTCTATTGCCGCTGTGATTCTTCTGTTTGCGCTTATGTGTGCAATGTTGCGTAATCGTGAAGGTTCTTCCATGACGATAGCGTCTTCTAGTCCCTAGACAACTACAGGCAATTCAGCCCTGAAACCTAACCCCGTAGCAGATGTTGAAAGGCAATCTTAACCACCCGGAAACTTCAAGCACAAAACTTAAGCTGGCTCTTTCTGAGAAAGGTGTTAAGCATATTTGGGGAACAGTTCCTTCCCTCTATATGTTTAGTGTTCTTTCCAAGACTGGCGTGCGAGGTGGTTGTAGTTGGCTTCTCGGACAGCTACGTCTTTCGGATCTTCTTCAAGGCGCTCCGGCGGGAGTTTGTTTTTGTAGGAGCTTTCGGGTTTGTGGGGGCTGTGTGTTTTGTAAATGTCAGGTTGGGAGTTGACTTCGAGGTAAAGAATTTAGGGTGTGAGGTTGGGGGTCGAGGTTTGTTGTTCACACCTGCGGCTTTAGGGTTTAGGGTTATATGGGTTTTTGAAACGGTCTTTGTTTGAGGCTTAAGGCTTGAGTCTTGGAGCTCAAGCTTTAAGGCGCAATGCAGTTTTAAGGCTTACCAACGGCTCAAGGTATAGCGTTCAAGGCTCAAGGTGTGTGTTCTTTCGTCTTAGAAGTTGGGTAGCTGGCTAAAAGTTTCTAGTGGTTTATGTTTTGGGATTGGTGGGTGAGTTTATGGTCTGTCCGAGCACACCCGGCCAGGGTCATCGAAGGTCCGTCGATTAACGAAAACCATTGTCATAGAATCCCGACCCACCAGTATTTCAACACTAAGGACTGCCTAAGTGTACAGTTTCAACATAGGGAAACTTAACTTAACAAGCCTAAACCCTAAACCTCAAACCCAAAACACAACAAAAAGCAATCCGTATGATACCCTTACAAAGACTAGCATAGCAGCCCCTAAAGTGAAGTCTGCAAGGGACCCAAATTGGGAGTTTCCGAAAATAGGGGACCCCAATATAGTGCCCGAAATAGTATGTAGGATCCTTACTATAAGGACGCGAAAATAAGGTAACCATAGTTTTTGGAAACTCCCTTATAAAGAGTTCGGAACCCGGCAGTTTTCTTTTGAGCCTTATACTATGTTACAGGGCATTTATCTGGGGTTTGTTGAAGGTTTCATTTGCAGGTGCTTTTCCTGGTGGTTGTCATCGCTGGAGCACACGGCCTCTGGTTGCTTCCAGCCATCCTATCCCTGGTGGGAGGCCATCAGGGTTTAAGGGTTTAGGGTTTATAGGGTTCACGGGTTTAGGGTTTAGGGGTTTAGGGTTTAAGGGTTTAGGGGTTTAGGGTTCAGGGTTTCCCTGGGGCTCCAAGTATAGAAATAGTGCCTGCTTTGGGGCCTATTTACAGTCTACAAACAGTACCTACTTTGGGCTATTTGGAGCCCCAGGGATTTTCGGAGCCAGCCCTAAACCCTAGATCCTACAATTACCTATGCTATTTTGGGGGCTCCTTATTATAATGATCCATAGTACAACATACCCCCAAAACCCGCTTCTCATTGGATTTTGGCGTTTAAGGAAAGCTGTCATTTGAGAGTGCGCAGACCAGAAAACAGAAGATAATAGAGCAGCCGGCGTGCACGAGTTTGCAAGACGAATCTTCTGCACGGCACCATGATTCCATGTGATGCGCCCTAGTTCTGAGGCGGGCTGAACCGTCTTGTCGTATGCAACAGCCCTGACCAACATTGGTAGATGCACTTCTTTTTCCACTAGTTTGCACTTTCAGTCACAATGGCGAGAGAATTGAAGACAGTTGCATAAGTAATTAGCACGATGTGTGATGATGATGATGATGATGCGCGATGATGACGATGCTGGTGATGATGGTGACGATGGCGATGACTGTTCCTTTGACTTGACGTCACCAACATCCTCATCCTCCTCCTCTTCCTCATGACCATCAACATCCCCATCATCGTCATCATCATCGTCATCACCAAGATCGCGACATGCACCGCCAGCTTCACCATCAGGGAAAGACAACGAGGTTTCGGGTCATCCCGAGCCCTTGCAGTCTTTTGCAGATCAGCGCTCTTAGCCCCACCCCAGCCCGAATCCTCCAAGCCCCTAGACGCTAAGCCGCTGAAACCCTAAATCGCAAGCCCTTCAAGCCCCTCAGCCTTCAGCCTCAACCCAAAGCCTTCCTTCTTCCCCAAACACCTCGCCCCACAAACCACAAAACGCCTTAACAAAAAAAACACAAAACACCCAGAACCCCTACGAACACGCCGCAAAAGAAAGACATCATAAAACCCCAAACCCCTAAAGCCTAAAATGTATGGATCCCTTAAAGCAGCCCTAAAGCAATCCTATAGATCCCTACGGTCCCCATAAAGCCCTCGATCCGAAGCTCCGAGAGTGGAGGCTCCAAGGCAGCGGGCGACAAAGAAGGGACCAGCTTGGGGAAACTGAGGGGAGGGCGGGGGGCGCGGGTAATAGTGACTATAAGGAAAATAGTAGGGCCCTATTATAGTCCCCAGTATACCACTATTACAGGGTGGGGGGGGGGGGGGGGTAGGGTTTGGGGTTTCGGGCTTTGGGGGCAACCGGAGAAGAAGAAAGAAGAGGGTTGGGGCTATAGGGCTTGAGGATTAGAGCTTGGGCTTTCGACACAAGTCGAGGTTAAAGGCTTTAGGATTTGAGCTTTAAGGCTTTAGGATTTGAGATTTAAGGCTTTAGGATTTGAGCTTTAAGGCTTTAGGATTTGAGATTTAAGGCTTTAGGATTTGAGATTTAAGGCTTTAGGATTTGAGATTTAAGGCTTTAGGATTTGAGATTTAAGGCTTTAGGATTTGAGCTTTAAGGCTTTAGGATTTGAGATTTAAGGCTTTAGGATTTGAGCTTTAAAGCTTTAGGATTTGAGATTTAAGGCTTTAGAGCTGAAAGAGCGTGGCTTGAGATCCTTGGATGGATGCAGCAGGCCTGGTGTTTCAGGTTCCGAGTTCAGGGCCTAAGGGGCTTAAGGTCTTAGGTTCACCCTGAGTTTGGGGCTTTGGGGTTCACGGTGGAGGTCCACATAGGGTTTCCCAAAATTGGGGGTAGCTTGTTTTGGGGTCCTCGTAGAAAGGATCCTACTATTGGGTCCTCTATAAAGGGTCCCATATTTTCGGAAACTCCCACATAGGGTTTTCGGTTTAGGATAGTGTGTGTTGAAGGATTAGGTTTTATATGGATCAACGTTTAGGGGGTGTGAGCAGGGGATCTGTGTTCCGGTTCAACCGACTTGGGTGTTTGGGTTTGGGTCTGCAGTGTGCCAGTTCGGCGTCGTGCTGTTCATTGTCTGTCAGACCTGGCATTTCACGCTGTATCGAAACCCGACACCGAACTAACGCTCAAAGGAAGAGGTGCTAGAGGTCTTGTACATTCTTGTACCATGTCAGCAGGAAGACAGACTCCTAGTTCAGCAGGTGTGAGAACACCGACGCATTTGAACCAAACCTGAATCTCATCCTGGTACCCTGAACGCTTGTATCCTTGGGTGGAGGACCTATGGAGCAGATGACAAGGCTGCCGCAATGACGACACACATTGCTTCCTCCTGTGCCTTCACGAAGTAGCTGCAGATTGTGATGCTAAGCCCTAAACCCTAAACCCTAAACCCTAAGCTAGGGAGACCACTGTTTAGGGTTCGGGGCTTCCTGCAGAGATGCTGGATACTGGACCCACTGTCGAAGTCGGCGTCAGAATCCCCGGTTTGGTTTGGGTTGATGAAGTGCAGTGAATGTCCGTCCAACCACACGCAGCCTTGCTCGCAGACCTCGCGGACCGTGCCTCACAGCGAAGATGCATAAAGGCATCGAGCTCTTGGCCACTCGGTTGCTGCATGTAACGTGCCGGGCTGAGGGGGGTTTGCAGCTTAGGACGTTAGGCAGTTTGGGCTACACGCAGCAGCTTTCAGAGATTGAGGGCCGTGGTCGAAGCCTTCCGTACCCTGGTTTCTCTTCGAAGTGCATGAGGCACTTGTGTCCCACTCTTGCAGAACCGGAGAGACCACTATTTCTTCTTTAAACTAATATTCTTTCTGCAGACAGGGGGCAGTGTTCTCCAAGGGTTTGTCATATTCGCATGTTCAGTCGCTCAGGCTGCAGCCCCAATGGCTAGCTCGCGTTTGCAGGAAAGTCGCCAGTCCAGCTGGTGAGGGTCCCACGGACGGCACTGACACTGATTTCGATGCTCTTGTGCTTGCACTCATCTTCCTTATTCCTAATCCCCAAAGCCGCAACTCCACATCCTTACACCCGCAACGCTTAACCCCGAAAGCCCTATATACACTCCCGAAACCCTAACGGACAAAGAAGTCTTCCAAACTTCAGTTCAAGAAGACCGCGCCGCTTAGTAACTGAAATCGGGGTCCTAGAAGGTTTTTTGCGCTGTCGGACTTAGGGCTCAATCCGTTCCTTCCACAACTCACGGCTCATGCTTTTTCTGCGCCCTTAGTCCCGATAAATGCCGCCAACGTCAGCGCTACGCCATGCCTTGAGTGCCGAAGGCGTTCCACTGCAACAAGCCACCACCCAACAAAACCCTCAAACCCTGAACCGTTATGCGAACACAGACAGGTTCGTAAAACACATAAAGCCGAAAGCACCTTCTGAAGCTCTCAACCGAAAATCTCCCCAAGATCTACGGAAGTCTGCGGCGGGCTTGGCATAGAGTCGCCCTGAAGATGAGGGCAGCACCTCGGCCAAGATAATTTTCCTGATCAATAGGAGCGGTTCCAGGGGTTCCTTACTATATACTAACACTAGAATGAGCCATAGCCTAGTTACTAAGGCCCCTACTTGGAGGGTCGGGGGACTTAGTAACTGGTTATTTTAGGGACTTATAAGTACCATAACCCCAACTAGGGTCCCTTGTAGGATACGTATAAGTCTACTTACTACCTACTTCCTAAGTCCCCCGACCCTCCAAGTATAGTAGAGTCTTTTGAAGGCTCTAGGGCTCTAGGGTTGATTGAGTCCAACAGTCGAGCCGTCCTCCCCACACCAGCCCGGCCCCGAGCCTTAAACCACCAAACCCGAAAGAATAGCCCCTGACATATTCGTGATCTTGGGCCCTGCTCCAGAAAATGAAGGTAGGGGCCACCTCAAACTCCCGGGCGCTGTGGTGATTCTCAATTAGGTTTAGGGTTTAGGGATCTTTAGGGGTTTAGGGTTTAAGGTTTAAACCTCAGCACCAGCTTCTGGCTAGCAATTTTCATGATGCTGATGTTGATGCTGATTTCGTTGCATCCTCACGATGAATGATTGACTATTGTCCTGGGGGCGGACCAGGTCTGCTGCTGATGATGACGATGATGGTGGTGAGATGGCGGTCCTGCAAGCAAGGGAGTTAAAGTTGCACTTACCGGACTTGTTCATCGCACCTCTTGACCATCCCGAATTTAGGGTTTAAGTGTGTAGTCGGGGACCCGGTCTCTGGCTGCATGGGGTGGCTTAAAGTTTCCAAACCTGGATTCGCAGGTATGGTGCCGGATGAAACTTCACGTCAACTCTCGACATGTGCTTGCGTTGCACCTCATGTTCGCAGCATGGGTCTTAAGTGTGAGGCCGCCTTCAAGTATGTGCATGGCAAGGTGGGTGGGTGGATAGACGTTGTCTACTAGGGAGCTTTGTACGGCCCCACAGTTTTCGGACCTGTTAAGTCTTAGGGATTTGGTAGAGAATTGGAGCATGTGCCTGGTCTTTCCCACGAAGGCATGTCATCGCCACCATCGCGCGCTTTCCGGAACTCCCGAAAGCCTGTGCACATTGGAGAAAACTCCGAAAGGCCATGTAAAAGCCTTAAAGTTATAGGTTTTAGGGCGTGCGGTTTAGCTTCTGGTTGGCCAGAATTTGGTCTTTCTCCATCTTTGCAGTTAGCAGTCTCCCAGGCCTGCAGCTCCACTGCATAGCTGACCCTGGGGTGTTTTGAAGCGTAAACCATAAAGCTCTAAACCATAAAACTCTAAACCCTAAAGCCCCTAAGACTCTAAACCCTAAAACTCTAAGCCCTAAACTCTAAACCCTAAACTGAAAACCCTAACCCTAAGCCCAGAAGCCCCGAAGTCTCACAACTTTTGGCCTCGAACCCCCCCGCAGCCCCGGAAGTTTCAGCCCCCATGGATCTTAGGTTACGGTTTTTTTTTTTTTGGCTTTGGTGAGGGTAGGCTATCATCGGGCTATTCCGCTGCTTGCCATTCCCAGAACGACGCGAGCCAGCAGTCAAGTGTAAACAACTAATTACATGATACATGAACTATGAGTCATGCCTCAGTCAGAAGTACAGTTGCATGTGTCACTTCTACTAGAAGTGGGCTTGGGAGCTGTGTCAGGTTCATGATCCCATACGCCCGTGCGCGGATTGTGCATTGGTTAAGTTGGCTGCCGCCCCGAGGTTCCCATCCTACTCCTCATTATATCTCTCCAGCCTGAATCCTACACCCTATCCCTAAACCCTGAACCCTAACCGTAGAAAGCCTGTTGGCCCGTTGAGTAAACCCTTAAGCCTCAGTTGCCGGAGGCAAGAACCTGTTGCATAAAGCTCTCGCTTGAGCCAAAACGCTAAATGCCCGTAGTGTACTATATAGGGGCCTGAATAATTACCAATACTATTTTGGGGGGGATTCCTTATCACAAGTAGAGCATAACGGGCCCAAGAACCCTATTCCAATTATTAAGGCCCCTAGTACAGAATCCTACTATAGATCCCTTATAGACCCTTATAGAACCCCTTAAAGGGAGCCCTATGCCCTATGCTACTTATTGAGGCCCCCTACACCCCACAGTAGTGTAAAGTTTGGACCACGACGGCGGAGCCACAGCGAGTGGACCTGGCTTGCGGTCCTCTTGCAGCAGATTCCCTCTGGAGGAACCCAAAATCAGGATACCTTATTTTTAATTTCCAGCCGCTCCTAGCCTAGAGATCTGCAGAGGAAAGCCGCCATTACAAGAAAGCTCGTTGGGGTTACCAGGGTTGACGTAAGGGTGTCGGGTTTAGAATTTAAGCTGGGGTCGCAAGGTTTAAGGGCAATTTGCGGTTTAAGGTTTGGTATTTGCTTGGAGTTCAGGTGTTCAGAGAATATGTCGGGTGTTGGGTTTATTCAGGGTTTAGGGGTTTTGGGTTCGCCGCAGAATCTCCGGAGGGACTACGTCTTCCTCGGGTGGACGCTTTTCCTGGCGGTTGGGCTTGTTGAGGGCCCAGCCTCCTCGGCTCCTCTGAGTACTTCGAATATATAAAAACGTCAGAACCACTTCTAAATGCATTAGAATCCGGAAAGAGATGTGTTTAAAGATAAAACCACAAAGCCAATTCTAGTCAGTCACCCCCTTATCTTCAATTCGGGTCGTTTTAGGTCCCTCCCCCTGATATCAACTACGTAGCCCATTTCAGGAACCGTATGTCTTCGTGAGCCCTTTGCGCCCAGAGAACGGCCGCCAGAGCCCAAAGTGTATTGAAACTTGCAGCACCGCAGTCCCTTTACTGGGGTTGGCAGGAACTGTTAGGAGATTCCAGAGTATACTTTTTTCTCCCCCACGTCAGCTTCTCCGCATGAGGGGCGGCGGGCCTGGGTGGTTAACCTTGGGACAATTTTGCCGTGGCGATCTTACGCCGACAAGAGCTTCAGTAGCTACAACAAACAGCGTCTTGGCCGCCTTTTGAAGAATGATATAGGGACGACAGGGGGGCAATTCGACTCCGTTTGGAATTCTACAAAGCCCCATATATGAACACGCCGCCTAACCGTTGAAACTTTAGCTATATTTTTGTTTGGATCGGTTTCTCAAGCCCTATAAAGGATGTAGATAGAATCCCACAGTACAGTAGGAGCCGACCCATGTTCGGCCAGTGGACCACGTTTCAAGAACGCGGCCTGCGGCCCTTATCCCAGTGACAAGTTTTCGGGCGGTCGGCCGTTCAGGCCTGCGGATGCTGCGTCTGAGAGATCATCGTAGGATTTTAAACCTTGAACCCGAAAGTTCAACCCTACGCCTTAAAACGACGTCCTAAACCTTAACATGTTGCCCTAAACCTGCCTACCCGAAACCTGATCGTCATTGTCTCAGCCAAGAATGTACTGTAACCTCAGAAGACTTCCTATTTCTGAGCCCTTGACGTCAGAAGCATTCATGCTCAATCCCGACTTCATCTGCAAGCGTGTTGAGTTTAGGGATTAGGGTTTAGCGTTCTCAATTCGTATGCCTGAGATGACCGGTCGTCACGTGGGTTATGATATTCCGGGGCGGAGTAGGAATGGGAGTTCCATGAGGGAAGTGACGCTCAGTTTCCAGCGCAGGGATCCGAAATCGCACGATTCATGTCATGAGTACATAAAGTGCCCCTAAGTTGCAGATGCCTTCAGAAAGGCAGCCATCTAAAACCTGTGAAGGCTCTGTAAAGGGTCCTAGCTCGGCAGCGATCCGCATTCTCCCAGAGCTCCTGGCTAAGCCAAGGGAGTTTCTCGCCAAATCGAGGAGAAATCATAATCGACGCATTCCAGGATTGAAGGGCTGAGAATTGCCGGCTGTCACAATGGGTTTCGGGTTTGAGGGTTTATGGTTTAGGATCAGGATGGAGTTCGCATTCCTCGAGTACCAGTACTGTGGTTGGAGTGCTGTTGCACTGCTACTGCTACTACTGTTGCAGCTACTAGTGGTTCTCCTTGTCCTGTTGCTGCTGCTCCTCCCTCCTACTACTACGACTGCTACTACCGTTGCTGCTGCTACGACAGCTGCTACCATTTCCTTTACTGAGATCCGTGCGATCCGAAGACGCAGCGGGTTCAAAAGATGTGTAACTTGCATGGAATTCGCCTGCTATGGATAGGATCTTCTACCTGGACCCCAAAAGTATGTAGAATACTCTTTTATAGGTTTTGGGCCATTATGTTACCTACTTTTGGGGGTCTAGGTATTGCTGTTCTATTGGAAGGCAGCCAGAAGGACCAATGCCCCTGAATTGATAGGGAAACTCATGGAACCGTAAAAGTTTCTTGCTGTCATCTACGGACTTCTCAAGAAATAGGATGACTGAAGTGGCTGAGTGTCAGTCCAACGTGGCAACCACGACACCTTACACAATCCCGAAACGCTGAACACCAAGCCTTGCCAGCGTAATCTAACAACCATTCAACCCCAACAGCGCCGACGACGCGCCGCAGTATTTTTCCAAGCTGATTTATTGTAGCTAGGGCACGGCTCCGAACGGAGCCGATGAGCCTTTGATGAATGGTGTGTAGGGTTTTCGGAGTGGGGCTGGTGTAGTTAGTGTAGGGTTTGATTTTTGGGGTGATCTCGGTGTTCGGGGTTTAGAGTTTTGCTGTTCAGGGTTCGGGGGCTTTGCGGTGTTGCTCTTGGGACTGACTTTGCTTGCACGTTTCCTTTGTGTGACCGAAATGTCCGAATTTGCCTTCCGGATGCTGCTGTGCACAGAGAAGTGTTGTGAAATGTGTTACCGTACCGTGAAATGCTTGTTTCGATCATCTTTGACGTTCCCCTTCCCCTTATGGGAACAGACTTCAAGCATTGTTCTACTCAGGCTGGGTGTTGTCAGCATGAGTATTCCTTGCGCTGTTCGTCGAAGTGTACGACTGCAGGCCATACTTCCCAGCAAGTCCCGTCTTGCAGCCCGAACTCTTCCGCAAAATGCATGCAAGGCTAGACATGAAGGGATCGGGGTTCAGGGCTTTTTCATGCAGAAACGTGGCTTTGAGGCTTCGGGTGACCCTCAGCTCATGTCCTGTAGGTCCTGAAGCACGCTCACCGCTTGAGGAACCAGCCAAGCACTCATGAGTTCGCATGCAAATCAGGACCGTGATCGAGCGAGTCTTAGAGAGCTTCTTTGAGAAAGTTGGACGCGTCGTCGGAACTCATCCGGCATCTTGGCATAGTTGAACTGCATCAAGACTATCATAAACGGAACAGTCGCGACGAAGATCAGGTTTCATGACATTCATGATACGAAGTCAAGGCTTTCGCTAGCCATGCTCGCTCGAGTTGCGTGCTTCCTACACAACTGCGTGCTCGCTCGATTGTGGAGCTCGCTCTCACGCTCGCCGGAGCAGCGCGCACGAGCCAGCGAGCACCCAAAACTGTAAGAAGCATCGTCCCCGAGCCAGCATGCAAATCGATGCATTTTTGAGGCCTCAGTCTCGCCGTATAGAGGTGTTTAGGGCGTGGGGTTATATTCCAGAATCGAGGTGCGGCGTGCTTCTAACAAAATTGCATGCGCGCTCGCTTGCGCAGCACGCCTCATGCAAACAAGAGCCGGCGCAGACGAACGAGCGAGCACTCAAACATTTTGGAAGCACCCACCCCGAGCGAGCATGGCTACTATTGCAAGCGGCGTAAGCATCTCTTGAGCAAGACTTTAGTGGGGCTTCTCTGGGATCCATCTTCAGCCGTTTGGATAGATGTGAGCTTACACCCTAAACCCTTACTAAGCCATAGCTGGCCGATAACTCACCCATAACTAAACCATGAAGAAGCAGCGCGAGCGCGGAACGAGGTCAAGAGTTTAGTTTGCAGCGTGCTCTTCGTTGTCGCGTGCGGCGGAGGCAATGACAGAGCTTCTGGTTCTGGTTCTGGTTCTGTGTCTTCGGATTCAAGGTTCAGGGCCTCAGGATTTATGGTTTAGGGATGTTTAGGGGTGGTTTCGGGTTTAGGTTTTAGGATGTGTATATGTATATACAGATATGAGCTAAGGTTCTGGCTTTAGGAATTAAGGGTCTTGGTTTTTAGGGCTGCGGGTTTCGGCTTGTGCTGCATTTTTTATTTTATTTTTTCTCTCTCTCTCTCTCCCTCTCTCTCTCTCGCTCTCTCTCTCTCTCTCTCTCTCGCTCTCTCTCTCTCTCTCTCTCTCTCTCTCTCTCCCTCCCTCTCTCTGTTATACATACATATATACATTTATACATGTGCATTGCATTCTGTGCATTGTCCCTTCGAGCTGTTGAGTCGTGCTTCTTGATTCTTGGTCATACAAGCGCAACCAAAAAAAACCTAAACCTCCCACAAAGCCCTAAAGTCCCCCCCCTAACAGCCGCCTTCCTTTCGAGGGATGTCATCTGTTCTGCAGTTGGAAAAAGGCGTTCAAAAAAAGTTCCCCCTAAAACCCTAAACCTCCCTCAAAACCCTAAGCCTTAAAGTTCCCCCCCTAAAACCATGCCCTTGCAGGCTTCAGCTTCTTGACGAATGAGACACGCCCCGAGAAGCAGTTTCTCGACCGCTTCTTCAGCGAAGCTTTTGTATTGCAGTCCGAAGCTCGAAGCTGCCGATTAATGTAGGGGCCTCAATACTTGCCTAGACTATTTTTTGGGGGTTCCTTTGCATAAGTAAAGCATAATGGGCCCCAAAACCCTATTCTAGTTATGCAGGCCCCTATATTGCCCGTTACTCGTATAACTGATGACAGCTTTGGCCTGCCGTCCCTGCGACCCTGACTGCTCATCTTAGGTGGGTGCCAGCGGGCTCCCTAGCCTTGGACCACAACGAGTATGCAGCCTGGCCTGGCAGTTGCATACCCAAAGGGTCCCAGGTACTGTTCTGGGGGATACTTCCCCAAATCATAATAGTAATTCCTAATATGGAAACCCTACATTCTACTATATGGGTACTGTGGACCCTTTGGGATAGGACTTTGGGGTCTAGGGTTTGTTCCGGCCCCGCAGACCCCTTATTGAATCTCTTGAGACCCCTGATCACTGCCGATACTTAAAAGGTTCAGGGTTTGTTCTGCTTTAGACTTTTTACATATGCCTTGTTTCAAGCCCGGAGGTGAGGTGTCGTGTGGCCAAGCACGCAATGCAGTGAACACAGGCTTCTCGACTGTCCGCCCGATGCCCGTTGGGAATGCCACACCATCCTAACCCCTAGGCGTGACAACGTGCCTACGCCTGCCTGTGCCAAGAGTAGCTTGAAACAGGAACCAGCCTCGGTACGACCCGTCAAAGTTCCGTATATCATCTGTGCAGCCCGCCACCGGTGGCCAGGTACAGCAGACCTTTCCGAGCAACTCCCGCTTTAACCTCTTCACTGCTACCTGCAACGATGTGGAGGAAGCCGACTGTCACCTGGCCTCAAGGCTAGGGCTTTAGGGGGTCGGAGCCGAAAAAGGGCTCTTATAAAGTTACGATAAGGGCTACTATAGGGGCCTTTGGAAAGCCCCTACATTAAGCGATTGGAGTCCCGGATACATGTCTTCAACTATCGTCCACCCTAAGAGTATAGCCCTGGTATAACCGAAGGCAGAAGCCTCAACTTATTACACTACACTCTACACTCCGGCAGCGGCCCCGAAGAATAGACAAAACCTTAGTTTAGTCTGATGTTCGGCGCGGGTTTAGGGTTTAGGATTTGGGGGTTTCGGAGTCTCCATATCTTTCTTCTTCGATTGCCCTGCTGAGGCAACATCTTTGATCCAAAGTACATTAAACGGTTCCACGAGATCAATGAGCCCGGCACTCAGCTCAAGAGAACTAGGGTTGGTGATGTCAACTTGCATCACCCATAAGGGGTATGCCATACTTCCCATAGTCTAGGGTCATTTAGGTAATGCAGGGTTCATATCATCAACCGTAGTGTGACTGCAATCTTCGATCATCCAAGTGCCGCTTCCGAAAGGCTTAGGTAGCTTTGGTCACACATACGACATAGTTGTGGCGAGCGTCTCTTCCGGACATCCCCCTAGAAGTAGACAAAGTAGCAGCAGACCCCTCAGATGTTATCCTGAGCGGGTTCTCGCCAGGAGGATCATGAACATTAGCATCGATGGCGATGAGATCGTCGCCGACCTGGACAAGGTTCGAACCCTAAGTAGCTGCAGCCGGCTGAGCTGTGCGCACTTGCCTTATGGTTTGAATTCGTGACAGGATAATGCAAGCGGATTTCTCCAGAAAAGTCGAATCGATGCCTACACCTCGTATAACTTTAAGTACAAATGCACCCTAAATGAATATACTTGGGTACTTCCACCCATGATGTGACTGTTAGATGATATCTATGATACAAATATATGTAGCCCTTAATACGACCCCTAGCACAGACGGGTGGGGTCAGTACCCAAAATAGTGCCTATCCCAGACAGGCATATCACCTGTTTTTGGTGGTTATTGAATCCTCAAGGAAGCTTTTCTCATAACGCAGCCTTGAGCCGCACTGCCTGGGTTTGCGGAGACTATTCCATCCCTTTAGGGTCCTTGTGCTTACCTCAATTATGATGTTTGAAACGTTGAAACTAGTACTATTGCTCATCTTCTTAGTGCTGCCACAGTTTGGGCTTTTCAATCTCACTGTTATTGGGTTTTGGGACTGGGTAGCCTAGCATCAACATGGGCCAACCTGATATGTACGTAGGACATGCAGATGAAGTCGGAAGGAGCCATCTGGCTTTTGGTGGAGCTAATGCTACTTTGTTTGACGCCGCTGCAAACAAACTCGTTGTCGCCTTCGGCTTTAGTATCTCCATGGTGTGTGACATCAGATCCACACAAGTAGACACAAGTACGTGTGATTTTTATGTATACATGTTTGCAGTAGAGTTTCGGTCTTAAGGCTTCACTGCCCTTACCTCGGTGAGCCGTGCCTTCGCGAGTCGGGGCAGCCCCAATGTACTATGCAGTATGCACTAACCTCAAGCCCTGAACATGAAGCATGCATTTTCTTCCAGGCGCACAAGCGTGGCGAGGGCGATCGTCGACCCTGGCTGCAGTACCAGGGACAGTGGAGCCTCTTGGCCGAAGCACATAATAATAGTAGTAGCAACAGTAATAAAAGTAGTAGTAGTAACAATAATAATAATAACAATAGTGGTAGTAGTAACAATAATCATAACAGTAGATTCAGTAGAATGCAGCTGCTACGTACACGTGCTGTTCCTCGCATTTCCACCATGTTCGCCTTTCTCACTAAGGTGAGTTTCACTAGACTGGTCGCTACCGTTAGTATTGCTGTTCTTAATATTGTTGTTATTTTGATGACTACTACTGCTATCTACTGCTATTGTCGCTTGTCTCAAAATATGAGCATGCAGTAAGGCCTTGCGCCCCGATCTTGATGGTGCAGCTCGCATGCTGGTGCATTGAATTGTCGTCCGTTTTCATTTCTGTGAAAACGGCAGCCGAATGTACAATGCTGTCAGAGGGCCTTCAGGATTCTTTGTCCGCTCCGCGCGAGTCAGAAGGGTGAGTGAAGTAAGGATTAGATTGTGCGTCAGTGCATCATCATACCAGTCAGCAGCATCGGCGAGTGCAGTGAGCCAAAGCTCAGGTGGGATGTAAATCCTTCTCTCATGGACTATGATGCGGGGCGCTTTCCTTAATCTTCCTTACACCCTCATTATGATAGCTAGGGCCCCCCAAGGACCCCCCTCGTCCGCTCGCGTACCGAAGTGAAAAGAAACAGCGCACTCCGTCCAGGCTTCATGGGCAGCCCAGAGAATGCTCCTCGACGTGTCTAACTGGGAGTTTCCGAAAATATAGGGGACCCTAATGTAGTACCCCAAGTAGTAGGATCCTTATTATAAGGACCCCAAAATAAGGCACCCCTTTGTTTTCGGAAACTCCCAAGTAAGTAGATGCTGGATTGCAGAGCCGGCTGTTCTGGATAACCTATTCTTGTTTGTGCTTCGGTTCTGTATTATGTTAACCAGAAAGCTACCTAGGGGGTAGCTGGGACGGGTTGGACTCCTGGAAGTCGCCGTTCTAGGATCATTGTCGTCAATTTCGCCGCTCGTTAACCTTTCTCGAGCTTTCTTTGGCGATCGAGAACTCATAGTTCGAGGTTTTACAAAGCCATGAGCTTTGATGGCGCCAGAGGCTATATTTTGGCGGTCGAAATTCTATTACTCGCCGTTCTGGATCAGGGAATGCAGGACGCAGGTCAACATCCAGATAGGGCTTAAAGAGCCCGTCCATCTCCCCAAAGCTCAGTGTGACAGGGCTTCATCTGCCCGAAATCAGCCCCAAATTTTGGGTTCCTGTCATGGAATTCAATTCAAGGTAGCATAATAGGAACTACGGTAAATTATCTGGTTTTTTATTCTGGTAACTTAGATAACATTCCTTAGCAAGAACCCATGAAGTGCTCGCTCTGAACCCCAATGAAATCCTGAATATCATGTAATGTCTGAATCCTTGAACCGGAACTCCAGAACCCTAATCTTTATCTCAATCTGTAACCTCGAACCGGACAGGGAGTTTAGAAAGGGCTTGAAGGCGTACCAGTTTACAACCGATACTAGCTACAATCTTTTCTACTTACTGCAATGAGATTGCAGTAAACACTTTAACCCTAAACCAGGAATCTCTGAGGTGAATGGCTCTGTGGTCTTCAACGGTCGCAAGTGCTTCTCTTTCGGTCCCTTCTGTGGGAAGCAGTCGATCTTGGACGTGTCGCCCGTCTCCTTTTTAGTGCTGCCCTAGGGCTCAAGTTACCGAAATAGTAGGTTTCCAGCAATATGAGATGGAGCCCGGTCTACTACACTAATGCTGTTACTACTACTACTGCTACTACTACTACTACTACTACTACTACTACTGCTACTGCTACTGCTACTGCTACTGCTACTGCTACTGCTACTACTACTACTACTACTACTACTACTACTACGACGACTACTACTACTACTACTACTACTACTGCGACTACGTCTACCCCCAATATTAAGGTAACTGGAGCCCTAGTTGTGGTTAAAGTGCACTGAGGGATTCCTTAAGATACGTAGACGTTAGGGTAGCACTGCTTTTCGTAGCTCCTCCGCTCCTCCCTTCCCTGACTCAAAGGATGAGGGGACGCAGTAGAGAGGCTTGTATAGGGGCCTAAATAGTTTCCTGCCTATGCAATATATTGGGGGTTCCGGGTTATAAGTAATTATAATATAAAGGACTCCAAAACCTTATTCTAATCATTAAGGCCCTTATATTATTAGTATGCCCTAAGCCTATGAAGTACAGGAAGGTCGTACCTGGCATCTATCTTCAGCAGAGCTCCGCCTTGTCGTTGTGAGACTACAAGTGACTACTAAGCCCCAGAGCCCCAAACCCGCAAGCCCTGAACCCGTCACCCCGAAGATGGCATAGCCTGGACTCCAGGATCCCGCAAAGCATAGCTCGAAGGGCCCATGCGCTCAGATCGTGGTCAAAGCATACACTATTTGATCTCTGGGAGCTTTCACCTTCCGGGCACCCTCAACCTCAAACCCTACGACCAGAATATCCGAAGCCCTACACCCTGCAGCCCTGCACCTTTGCTTCAGGCTCCATATCCTACAGCCTAAAAGCCCTAAAGCCCCAGGTTCAAGGATGACGATTACATCATTCGGACGTTGACTGCCGAGGGTGCAAAGATGGCCATCAACGAGTGGGAGGTGCCGAAGTTGCGACACGATCCGTTGATGTAGGATTTCGGGTTTAGAGTCTTGGATTCAGAGTTTATGGTTTGGGTTTTTCGTCTGTACAGGGGAAGGCTTGAGTAGGGTTTTACCAGCCGCTGCCAGGGTTTTTTCTCATCGCGCTGGCCAGGCTCTATTAGGGTGTAGGCTTCAGAGCTTTGGAGTTTAGAGTAGGGTTCAAGTTTTGACTATGCTAGGGTGCTAAGTTTACCCGAAATTCCAGCAAACCGTGAAAGGAACTGGTGATACAGGAACCCTGATCTCAGGGATGTTCCTTCGGTTTCAAACTGGGGCTTTTGCCAGGCATCTGCAGGTAAGGGATATGTGAGAATATCTATGTCTATTTAACTCTGGACAGGGTCCTGGATGAAGGCAGTTTCAAGAACATTATCGACAAGACAGCTTGCTACTCTGAGTGCCCAATCTTCTGTAAGTCGTTAAGGCATTCCGAACTGAGAATAAGATCCGCCACAAGGTTTGACGAATAAAGGCATTTTTCTCTCTGGGTAGCTGAGCAAGCTTCAAAGGAAGCCATCTGTGCCTGCAAACCCTCCAGTGTGCACATGCTCGTCCTGAGCCAGGAAGGTAGCGGAGGTAGCGAAATGGTACGAGCCCTGGACGTGTGTACTGTTGAGTTCTACTGCCTTGTGGAGTTTAATCGCACAGAATATCCAGAGAGCCCATTACGATTCTTGGTGGTGAAGATGCGGAAAGTCTCAACCAGCCTTGTACAAAGGTAAGATCATTCATCTCCACAACCCTGAACCACAGAAGGGAGCCTGAGATTCGCACCAGGACCAGGAGAACTTCTGTCCGCTCACCATCGCTGTGGACAATTCACCCTGCTTCAACAGCCACTCGAATTGGACAGAGCATGGGTTTGGCTTTAGGGGTTTCAGGGTTTTGGATCTCGGATTAATATGCAAGCCTAAATGATTACCAATATCATTCCTTAGAGTTCCTTATTATGACGATACTGCAAGGGAGCCCATGACCCCATTCTAATTATGAAGGCCCCTTACAATAGACAGGGCAGATTGCGATGTGAGTTTAGGGCTCGGATTAGGCTGGAGCTCCCAACTCAGCCGAGTTTATTCTGTACCTCCAAACCCTGGCTATGCCTGCTTCAACTATCCCCGAATCCCCAAACCCAAAAAGGCGTTAAATTCGTCGTCCTGGAAGCCTGCCAAGGCAACTGCCAGAAGTACGACACCGTGCAGGAGCGCAACGATTGCCGCACCCTTGCCAGAAGCTACTGTGCAACAAGGCCAGTGGGACGGATGCTCTGAGTTCTTAGTGAGGAACTTCACTGAAGTTATCCGAATTGCGATACATAGTAAAAGAGATCCGCGATGCTTGCCGCTGCTTGCTGAGTATCTTAGTTCAGCTCGTTAGCAAGGGCCCTAAGTCTTTGGTGGGTTTTGGTTGCAGGCTCTTGGACTTAACTCAAGCTGAAGAAGAAACGAAGAACGCTGAGAAAAGGGAGCGACGTTCAAAGAGAAAGTCGAGCCCTGTGACAGTTGCCCGGATCCGCGCAACATGGCCACCTGCAAGGACTCAGGGACAGTCTGACATAGGGGCCTAAATAGTTACCCATACTATTGCGTCGGGGTTCCTTATGCTGGTTATCGTATAAAATACCCCACAACCCTATTCGAGTTTACTAAGGCCCCTGTATTATGCGTCCAGCATTGTCAAAGATAAGCCCAAACCCCTAGACCCTAAAGCCCTGTAACTATGCCAGGGACCTAGACTATCATGCTTCCATATGTGTGTTTTAGGATGTAAAAGTACATATTTACACATATATATATACATGTAACAACACAGTGGCCCTTGTATAGAACCTTTCTGCAGAGTCTTCATCTTAAACGCTCTATCTGAACACATGCAAACCTTCCTATCCAAGCCTGTTTGACCCTATAGGACAAGCCTCCTGTAGAATCCTGCAAATGTTGTCTAAGCCCCCAGATCTATTAAAAAAAAAAAACACAACTTCATAAACCCTAAGCCCTTCACCCCTAAGCCCTAAAACCTCTAAGCCCTAAGCCTAAACCCTTTAATCCCCTTAGCCTCAAACACGCCTGCGGAGCCTCGGAGCGGAAGCAACAAACCCTCCAATTCCCAAACTCAAAGAGTTTAGGGTAAAGGATTTAGGGTTTATGGGTTTATAGGGGTTTAGGTTCAGGGTTTAGGGAGCCCATATGGATCTAACATGTGCAATCAAAACCTCAAAGAAGCCCCAAGATCTTCCCCCTAAACCCAAAAACCCCCGGGCAAGCCCTGCAGACCCTAGAAGCCCCATCATTAAGACTTTTACCTCTCATACGACATATAGTTAAGATCTATACCTAGACCTATTGTTACGACCTATAATAAGACCTATGATCAAACCGTAAAGCCCAAGACCAAAAGAAGCCCTACAGACCCTACAAACCCTACAGTTAAGACCTACACCCATAATAAGACCTATAGTTAGACCTACAATAAGCCCGAAAGCCCAAACCCCAAAACGGAACCCTAAACCCTAAACCCTAAACCCTAAACCCATAAACAAAAAAAAAGCAAAGAAGCCCCGGAGATCTTCGAGAGGATCGGGGCTGCTTGACCTTGGGATCTTTCGAGGCTGTTGAGGCCGAGAACCAACTGAACACGGAAGCTCGGCCGATGAGGCTTAAGAAAAGGGGATGAGCCTTCTGAAATCTGGGTTTAGGGCTTGGGATGTGTATGGTTTTGGGTTCAAAATGTGGGGTTTAGGGTCTAGGATGTAGAAAGAATCTTGGGCAACAGATGGTCTAGGGTTTATATAGGGAACATAACCATTATGTACTACAGGCTGGCTGTGGGTCTAGAGTGGAGGGTTCCTAAGCCCTCAGAGACTAAGATCTGTAAGGGTTGTTCGATTTACAGTAGAAGCCAGAAAGATCATTATCGTAACCCCTTTATATAAGGTAAGATATAGGGGATCCTACCATTAATCCATATTCCAACTTTCTGGAGTTTCCTCTAGGTTTTGGGGTCTAGAGTCAGAGGCTTCAGAGTCCAAGGGCTGTTACAGTAAACCCCATAAAGTTGGAAACCGGGCCAAATAGTGCTGGGATTCCCTATACATTACTCTTAGGGATCGAGGCTATGGGGTTTCCATCTTTTGGGCTTCTACTGTAGGTTTGCTTTGGTGATTATCCCTTGGAGGCTTAAGGGGAATAGCAAGCTGATGATGAAGGCACCTATAGTGTTCAGTACTTTGTGCACAGGGCATCGGGATTATTCTGTTCCTGATCTTTGCAACCCTGAAAACAAAAACCCTGTAATCCAGTGGACCCCAAAGCCTCTACAATTGTACCGTCTTGGAACCTCACCTGAAAGCTAAAGCCTAAGTTTGGTAGCCTTAAGCCACGGACCCCTGCCTTAATTCCCCAGCCTTGCATGAACCCAAATCCCAGCACCACAAATCCTTAGTTCACTTCCTAAGCCCTTCGATGCGAGCCCGAAGCCCTAAATGTCATGGAAGTCTAGGGTTCAAGTAAATCTTCCAAAATCGTAGTGCATAGGTTTGAAATTTTAAAGCAACTTATGAATAGGTGTTTAAACCAGCCTGCAAGAAAGGATCCCAACGAGACGGGGCAGGCACCTGAAAGTGCCTTTGAGCCTCTCGGCGCGGCGTCGGTCGGAAACACGCTGGTAGATGTAGGAGTCGATTGAAGGGTTCTCACAAAGGGTCCTGTAAGGGGGTATTATGGGGTGTATTATAGGGGCATTAAATGATTACCACTACTGTTGTTTTTTGAAGGGGGGCCACTAGAATAGTTACAGTATATCATCTACCAAAACCCTGTTCTATCTGTTAAGGCCCCTATATTAGATGTGGGTCTTATAGATGCTCTGGTAATTAGAATCGGGCTAACGGGGGTATATAACAGCATAGATGGGCTTTCGTACTCTATATGTGTTTGTGTTTAAGGGGGTTGTGCACACTATTCTTCTAGGGATCCTTGCAATAGTGATCCGATAACTTGATTCTCTCAGTTCCTAGCTTGCTACTCTTAAGGTTTCATTTGTTGAGATCTCGCTCACCTTTGGAGTTGTGCTTCATTCTGATATGGTTTAAGAGTTTAGGAGTTTAGGGTTTATGAGGGATCCTTGTTCGAATTTGGTGTGGGGTTTACGGTCTAGGGTTCATGGGTTAGGCTCAGGTCATGAGGTTTCGGGATCGGATTGCATTAAACTCGGAATGTCCCGTCAAGGGATTGAGAAGTCGCTGGGGTCAGGGCGGTCGTTCTGGGGGTATCGGGGTCTCGGGCGCATAGTTTGGGTGAGGGTTTACTTGTACAGAGCATGCGCTTAGAGTTCAATCATGGTCGAGAGGGCTTGGGCTTCGGAGCCTTCAGAGTTATGTTCATATGCAGATGGTGGCCATCAACGAAGATGCGCAAGAGTAGTTTGATTTGTTGGAGAGATCATGGCCGGGCACAGCATGCTACGCAAAACGTGACATGATGTTGGAGGAGACGGCAAGCGAGCGGAATGTGTTAGATGTAGATACCGAGTGCACTTAAGATGATGACTCAGTATTCCGTCAGCTGCAACAAGATTCAAACTACTTGGGCAGGTTGAAGTGCGGGATTTGTGCTGTCGCTTACTTGTATACATATGCAAGAAGAACATAGAAGACGAACGCCACCTGAAATACACAGGCATGCATGAGAACATGGTCAACCGAAGCTGCTTCCAGGTTCCAGCCCACCAAGATCAAGACCATGGTCGGTGGTTTAGCAACGTCGCTGCACAGATACGGAGGTTTGAGTGTAACGAGCACAGGAGCCAAGCTTTAGGGGAGAGCCTCGGGGCCAAGGATCAAGTTCGGGCTCCGTGCGTTCTCCCAGGATCCCGGCACGTGTAACGCCGTTGAGGTGCCCGAACTTGAGCCAACTTCTGGGCCTTGGGGCATCGGCTCCGAGACTTCGTTCGAACCTGGAGATGCTCGAAAGTCCTTGAGCACCACCTCCCCGTAAACGTTGATATCAAAATCAGCTTTGAGATGTAGCAACCTATTT